GCATAATAGTGCGCAATATTATTAGTACTTTATAAATTTACATGCGTTTTTCGAGAAATCGGAAATAGCGTAAATTAGTACTTCCGATCAACGGAAATTACTCAAAATTTGACAGAAGGTAGAGAATTAGATCTTTTACTTACATGTGAAATTTCATTTATCTATCTGAAATAGTACTCAAGTTATAGGCTTTTGAAAAATTCAAAGTAGAAAAAGTACCACTTCCGGTTATCGGAAATCGCTCAAAAGTTAATACGGATCTACGATTTTGATAAAATACTTATATATGAAATTTCATCAACCTAGCTGTAACGTTACTAGAGTTATCGTGTTTATACACAGACAGACACACAGACAATATTGCAAAATTACGTTTTTCCGTATCAGTGAGGTGTAAAACGTCGAGATTTGTAAACCCCCCCCCCCCTTTTTTTGCACGATTACAAGACTTTCTCTATACTTCGTATATACGAGAAAGTAAAAAAATAAGATTGTATTTAATTATGTAATAAAACTTAGTGGGACCATTTTCCATACCAGAAGTGTTGGTTAAGACCTAGGCTTTGTAACAACATATCCTTGATAGATAATCTTTCAAATACTCTTCAAATGTTATGTCATTCTCTGCTTTTACTGTAGAGATCTTAATCATCTTGACAAAATAATGTGTTTCATTTGTTACACTTTACACATGTAGCTAGTAAAATCCTGTAGAAATATCACCTTTTCAAATGCGACTTGACATCCAATGTTCATTAGAGATACAGTGGTCTGGTAGGTGAACACAACAGCTAGTACCTGGACTCAAGACCTGGGTATCACCAACTACCTCCAGTACCCATATCAGGTGTGATGTACCAGGGAATAAAGTAAAAACAAGCAGAACAAACAGGTCTAGGAGCTGATAACAAGTCTGTCAGGAATGCTACATTTTTCTCTTGCTTCTGCAATGTGAGAAGTTTAATAAAAAAAAACCCATCAAGACTTGCTATCTTTCAGGAGAAACTTAAAAGGAAAAAAACAGACTATTTATTTAATTGCAAAATACATATTTTAATTACAATACTCATAATATGGCAACAGAAAAAACCTACTACTATTATATCCTAATACCAAAAGAATAACCTATGCATAATTTGTTCACAACAGAAAAACCCACCCTTTCCAAATCATGTTCATATTCAGTCTTTTAACTCTTAAAAAAAAATTAGATTGTTACAAAGTCTAAACTTTACTTAAATTCTATAAAACAAATCTTAAATAAAAAATCATCTCAAGTAATAAAATGTACAATGAAAAAACTCAACACATCTGTACAAGTACAAATATAAAAGGAGAGAATTTAAAACAACTTCCACACAAACTTAATGAATCAAATTATGTGTAACAATTACTTTATAAGCAAGCCATGTTTAGTGTTCTATAGCAAACATTTTTAAACCATGTTAATTTTTTATAATTAATTATTTAAAAGCTAAGCTTTAAAATTTGAAAGCTTGAGAGCAAAACTATTTCTGGAATTTCGACAAAGCTAAAGCACATGGTTTGAAGCTGTTCAAGTTTCTATCAACAATGACTAACATTAAAAGCAGGAGTTCACATTTCTTGGATTTTCCCTGGCTCAGTTTTATAATGATTTTCCTCTCATAGTTGTTCAGACCTAAAGCTTGAACAATTTATTCTTAGCTCATTTAAAGTAAAATTCAAAGCAACAACACACTGCTGAACAGTAGCTAAACATGTTCTCGGTGAAAAAGTTACATGAATTATGGAAATGTCAACAGATTAAAAGGGTAGTTGAAAATTTTAACAGCAATTTTATCGTAGCTAATTTTGAAAAGACATTTTTAGTTGAATTATTTGATTTTTATTATAAAACTTAACTTAATACATTGTCAAAAGACAGGCTACAGAACTATTGCCTATTTTTGTCTTTTTCACTCTAAATACAAAAACTATAGATAAGTTCTGTATAAAAACATATGTGACATGTTGGTATCAAAAAATAATTTTTAACTGTTTGTTCACAAAAGTGGTCTCCGTTACAGAAATGTACACTTATACTTGTGCCAGTTGATGTCTGACATGTTTTCCCAAGACTTACGACAGGCACACAACAACCAAGTGAGCCACCACTTTAACAGAGCTACAAAGCCAGTGTGGTGGCAGGAATCTTAACACAAACTCTGACAAACTTCAACAGAAATTGGTCTCTTTAGATTGTTGAATTCATTAAAATAACACTTTACAGAATTTTCTACCATTGTTGGGTTAATCGTAAGAATATTCTACTTTACAATTACTTTTTTACAACACACAAAAAAAAGACCTATGAAATAGTGAGAATGAATAGAAAATAAAATAAAACATTTCTATAATGGCAAACAAGATCCGAGCTCCCAGGACATTCTTAAATAATGAACACAACAACAAAAAAATGATTTTTTTTTCTCCTAGAATAACATCAAATAGAAATAATTTGTTACGATTTTTAAAAACCCTCTATTGAAAAAAAAATATTTTTCAGGTTTTGATCAACTCAACAAAATTCACTAAGTTTAAAAAAAGCAAACAACAAATGTTATCACAGATGTTTTTCTACAACAAATTGAACTCAACAATGTCAGATTAAAGTCACAATTTTTTTTTTAAAATCAGGGCTTAATTAGATCCACTAACAGTAGTACAACTAAAGGGCTGAAATTATTTGTTTAAAAAAAAATGGTTGGCTTTTATCATCAAATTTTACACATCATAGTTTACATAATCTCAAAAGTGTATTATGTACATAAATGTATGGGCTATTATTGTTCCTCTAAATCAGGGGTCTCCAAACTTTTCAGTCCGAGGGCCGCATTCACTATTAAATTTCGGTTCGGGGGCCAGTTTCTTCCAGGCATGTCTTTGATTTTTCTGGGCAAAGTTCCTCAGAAATCACCGACAAACAATTTTTCCTTGGACAAAAACATCTCCGCGGGCCGGATGAGAGGAGTTCGCGGGCCGCTTTCGGCCCGCGGGCCGTAGTTTGGAGACCCCTGCTCTAAATCATAGCTTTTTAAACTATTGGTTTAGTGAGATCATAAACAAAAGGTTACTTCAAACACTGAATAAAAAAAACTATTTGAAATATATTATTTTAAATTCATGGCTCTTTCTCATGTTGACATGTTTGATTTGAAAGAAAAGAAAAAAAAACAATTAAAAAGAAACACATCAAACTAACATTTACAAATATAGAAATACAACTGAAGCTAAAGCAAAAACAAAAAAGGCAAGTGTTAAAACAACATCAAAGTAAAATTTCTGCAAAACAATATCTCTACACAATCATGTCATCATTAATCTGAAATTGAAACAAAAGCCCTTTCAGCTTTACTCCACTAAGTTATTCAGGTCTATATTTAGCATTTTTTTTCTTCTTCGATTGAAGGTTTCAAAACTAAAATGACATCAATTCCAAACAAAGCATTAAACAAAGCAACACATATAATACTTGTACACAGAAAAATTAAAGTGCATTTCCAACAAGATGCGAGAAATATGTAAAATATATTTTTTTAACAAGAAAAATACTTCAAGAAAAAAGACTGCATCCTTTGCACACCTAAGATTAATCAGGTTAACAGGAATGTTTTACAGTTATAACAACCATATAACAATCCTTGATGAACTTACAAATGAAAAGCTCTAACAAAGTATTTTTCTCAAACCTATAAACATGTTTGACTCTAGAAATAGGATGTTGGACATATAATTACAGTTTGAAAGACCTACACCAAGGTTTTACATTAACCTTTTAGGCACAATTTCACCTATCTGTTTCTCCAATCACTGTTAAAAAAAACATTGAACGCAACAATAAAAAATCAATACATAAGCATGTGTGCATGTTTATATATACTAATGAAGACCATATTATGTACAAAGGAGAATCTATACACATCAAATACAGAGGATAAATAATATACCTAGTAACATTAACAATTGAAAAAAACAATTCATACTAGGAACTACTTGTAAAACAACAAGTGTTTTAAATTTTTAAACAGCCAATAGCAAAGAAATAAAACAATTTCAAACTCCTTCTTGGGTACTCTCATAATTTAAAACCAACTGCCAATTCTAAGTATGCCTTGATCAAATGTAACAGATAAAAGAAGCAAAATAACTTTGGCATTGCTATGCAGTTATAATCAGCAGTTTTTATTTAACCAGGGGGTAGAAAAAAAATCACTTCAATCCTTCCATTTTAAAAACTGTGGTTTGCTGGTGGTAACTATTCATTCCTCTACTGAGATTCTTTAAATACAATTCTTAGAATTTTAATAAAAAAATAAACTTCATGAAGAAAAGAAAAAGATCTGTGTTTTAAGTGGTCAAGTGGATTTAGTGTGTAAATATTTCCAGCTGTGAAGAGAATGGATAGAGATAAAACAACCCAGTCATATTCTATATGATGTGCCACAGATGTGTGTGTGGGTTAAATAAGGATTCTCTCATGGTAATACAACAACAAATATTGGTAAAATATGGTTTAAAATCAGTTCTGGACATTTAATGATGGAAATATTGCACCAAACACATTTTTTAACAGATGTGCTGAACATCAGCAACAATAATGTAAATGCAATTATTTTGCTTCAGATAGTGAGAGAAAAAAAAAACCAACAACATAACAGTAGTCAACAACACTGACTTGTGTGTAAATAATAGTGTACATTAACTCTTTAAATACGAAGTGTTCATGTCTCAATTTTGAATTAAAACACAAAAGATGGCTAGTAAAATTAGTGTTGCACAATATAACTTTACCCACAAAACAAAATACATTAACACCAGTTTGGTCTACACATATTATATTTGGAACAAAATAACTTGAGGCCATTACAGGGTTAAGAAATAGTGCAACCCCTTAAATGCTTTCAGCAATGTGATAACTGCAGCCTTTGAAATATTCAAACTGTACTATTACTGAGGAGTAGATTACTGCATGCTTGTAAGTAGAAGATGATTTGTTCTTTTTAAAATGTGACTCTGTCTAGAATTAGAGTATACTCTCCTGTGTTAAAGTCTTCTGTGAGAAAAAAAAACGTATCCTTCTATTTCTAGCATATTTCACAAAAAAATATTGTTACTCTGTGAAAAATTATTAAAGTACTTTAAAAAAAGTTTCTGGATTCTAGTTTTGTATTTTTTCCTATAAAATTTTAAAATGGATATTTTAAAGAAAAAACTGATTTACAACTTATATTAGCTAGAAACCATATTCAAACTACATTTAACACCAAAAATCTAGTTAGACAGACGAACAAGTCATTAACATGATAGTATTCACAACTTGTAGCCGTGAGACTTAAATTTAAATAAAAGAAAATTGCTGTACCATAAAATAGTGTATACATTAAAAATACAAACTTTTTTTTTTGATTTTCCAAACAATGGTGAAAATAAAATTAAAAAAAAAAAAAAACATCTGTAGTTATACATAATCAAGGTAAAACATGCATTATTTAATGTTCAACTGCTTTTACAGCGGATCTACTCATTATTTTTCTCTACTTTAAAATTCTCATTTATTTTCAACAGAAGGCAACATTCAATAACATTAGCACTTTTCTAATTACTATTAGAAAGTGACATTTTAAAATATTAAGCAACGTCTTTTTAAATGAAAAAGAAAAATTACAATTTTGAAGGGTCAAGAAATTGTGTAAATATATTAATGAAAAAAGATAATATAAATATATCATACACCTTTGGTACTTTCTAGTAACAATGTAATATGTTGTGTATCAAAGCCTTCTGACAAGTGTTAAGTTTCCAACTGTAGCAGCAGCATGCATTCAACATGGTATTTATAAAAGAGCACCGGGGCTAAACAGGACGTTAACTGTAACAAAATGGTCAACAGAAATGTACACATTTATTAAGGTTGGAAAACATTTCAAAAGATTTGTATGCTACACAGTGTATAAGGACATTTTGTAACAGCTTAGAGTAGTAACCCTATGTTTCCCTCTAATAGGCCTATTTTTAGTTCAAAACAAAGTCCTTCCCCACTCTGAGAGTTTCTAAAAAGACATTTAACGTACCCTGAGTACTAGTAGTACCTTTAATTTATTGCCTTTTTTTAAAATAGAAATTTCCATACAAAAAATAATAAATAACATTACATTTTAAAAACAAAACCTAATGGACTGGTAAGCACATATCTATTATTTATAAGTAGCTATTATAAAGCACTACATCATTGTGAACCTTCATAACTTTTCTTACAATTCAATTAAAGAAAAAAAAATCATGTTATACAAAAAGCTATCAAGCTGGCAGATAATTACAGTGCAAATGAATAAGACTTGTTCGATATGTATTAGATTATATACAAATGGATTTAAAATCAACAACAAAATATAATTTTTAACACTAAGCTGGTAGCAGCTTTAAACAACAAAGTATACACGGCTGTTGATACCAACTCTATATACAGAGACATTTTTCTTTAAGTTACATTAAAAAAATTGCTTTGAACACAGAAAGCTTAGAACTTACAATAAAAAACAATTGTCAGTGGATGCAGGCTATACATTTCTGTATTCGCCATTCTAGGGAGGGTTTTAAAAGAGCCTGTTTATATAAGTTACAAGAATTCCATTCCTGTAGTTTTAAATAACAATTTAACCTTACGACTGTTGCAATTAAAAATTTTGTGATCTTGACTTGAAGAAAAATTTTAAAAATGAAAAATACAAATTGCAATAATTATAAAGAAAGCATGTTTTAAAACAATATCTTAGCATTTTTAACACCTATTACACAAGGAGTAGGAAAAATGGTTTTGAGTGTCACTAAGTTGGTAGAAGGGTTAGAATTTTAACAACTGGTGTGTTTTTAGAATATTTTATGAGAAATAGTAATAAATTAAACAAAATACGCTACTACAGAGCTGCCAACCTCCGTACACCAACTGATAAACATTCAAATGTCTTGTATATGTATTTTTATGCCTGTTATATATTAGTGTAGTAAAACCTGTTTTGTATCTTCTCAATGGGACTAAATATATTTTTTTTAATACAAATTTTTCTAGATACAATTTGTATTTTAAATAAGACAGTATTTATTGAAGTATCAAGTTTATCAAATTAAAACCATTATGAATATAACAATCATTTGTATTGGAAAACGTTTTAAAAGTTTAGTTTTATTTTGTTTATGAAAATGAAAAGCACCACAGTTTTAAGATTTTTTAAACTTATATTTCACTTTAAAAAAAAAAACATGTATTGCCAAATTAATGTCCCTTGTTAATTTTAAAATAAATAAAGATGTATTGTAAATGGAAAACATCTAATCTTCTATCAAGATATAATGTAATCACAGACAAAAACTGGAATGATTGAAATTCTACCATAATTTATGGAATAGTTGGCAGCTCTGACAAAATGGATTAGCTCCCATCCAAGATTCAGACAATATCTCTCCTAGGTCTCTTCCTGGCTGAGCCCATGGGCTCACAGAAGTCTAGGAATCTTGAGTCTTTGACATGAACTTGTGACTGGGCTGTAAGCTGCAGCTTGATGGCACTGGCATTCAACTTGGCAGACTTGAACATTTTCTTCAGACCTTTCATCTTAACACTTCTCAGCTCCACCTGGACAGGGCCTAATGCTGCCAGCATTTCAGCTGTGGGGGACGGGGAAGGAGAGGGCGCAGCTCTTGCATCGTCAGATCTTTTGATGGCCAGCATCAGGTCTGATGGACTCTCCGCTTTCAGCATTGAATCCATGGTGAAGCCGATGAACGCTGTGCCATTGGATTTGGAGCTGAGGAACTCATCCACGTCGATCCGGGAGTCCGACCCCGTGAAGTGACCGGAAGAGTTGGATGTGGCCGTGAATGCCTCGTCCGCTGGGACAGATGCAGACAACGTGGCAGGTGAGGTGGAGAAGGGCTCTCCCGCTCCGAGAAGGTAGTCTTTGTTGAGGATACTGAGACTGCACTGCTGGGCGAGGGCAGTGATGTTGGGGTTGGGGGGCGTTTCTTGGAAGTTCTCATGCTGTCCAATTTTGCTAGCCAACTCTTCAATGGTTGGTTTGATTTTCACATCGGCTTTGATGTTTTCATCCAAACTTTGTTTTCTATTGGAGTCAACCGAAGATACTTTTGCTGTTACTTCTTTAGATGCATTAGAATTCCTTCTTCGCTGGCCCTTGCGGTTTTTTGCAGTGACCTTTTGACCTGCAAGCAGAGACTGAGACAGATGTAAGGAATCTTCTTTCTTCAGATCGTCCAAGACATTTTTCAAATTATCTTTCCCATCTTTTGATTTCAATAGATTGCTGTCTGCCTCCTGGTTTGAATCTTCTTTAGATTTAGAATTGTTCTCATTGTCATTTTCATCATTCTCATCTTTCCTGTCTTCATCCTCCTCATCCTTTCCTACATCTATTTTAGCTCTAGTTCTTGGATCAAATTTGTTTAAAGAAAATGTAAGATGCTGTGCCCAGCCTACATGTAAAACAGGTGTTGAGCTGCCTTCTTCCCATTCACAAATCCCATCATAGAAACGAAGTATGTCAGCATACACCTCAGGATTATATAAAATATTCATTTGAGCACGATCTATTGTGTTTAAAGATACTGCCTTCACTATGTTTGGAATCAACTCGTTGGAAATCTCAAGAAATTCTTTGTAAATTTCTTCATCTTCTCTTGTGTAATTGAACCTGAGATGATAAAGAATAAATAACCAGTAGTAATATGTTTCAATTAAATATCAATGTCTGTTCTTAACCAGTAGTAATATGTTCTAACTCCATTTTTCCCTATAAAAGACACTGAGTTCATTTAGCTTTTTGCAAATGAAAATCTAAACATTTCCCCCCACACATTTTTCATTGAAAAATGAAGCAATTATTTATAAAAACAAATTTTAAAAAAGCACTCACATATTGATTACAGTCAAATAACTTATTTTAGACAATGTATTGTAATTATTTCTATAGAGCCAATCTTCAGGAAATAAAATTATCCAGGGATGCAACTCCATAATAAATTTACTCAATTGCAAAAACATTGATTTTTCAAACATGTAAACAATTTTCACCTTTTCAAAACTTGACTTCACCCCCCCCCCCCCCTTTAAGAAACAGCTGAGCTGTATGAGTATCTAGATCTACAGTAAATAACAATAGATATCATGCTGCAGAAGTAAAGAACTGCTTTAGCTTTGGGACTACAAATAAGGTTTTTTTTTTAAATGATTACCGATTCCAGACTTCCAAAAAAATTCTCAAAAGTAGTGGTTTTTCCCAAACAATTTTAGTTGCATGAAACACAATTTTCAAAATTTCAGACACTTTCTAGTATTTGAACAAACTATAAATCCACCAAGATAAGTAGATGTGCTGTCATGTCTCTTTCAATTTTTACCACAGTTCCATTTCACAAAATGATCAAATTAAAAAATGCCAAGGACCAAGCCTTATAGTGAACATTTAAAAAAAAAAAGACTAGTTCTGGAGAAGCGATACATTTTCAATTAATTTTTTTTAATATTGAAGAATTTAGATATTAAAATGGTATATAAACTTTTCATGCCATAATAGGAATTTAGGTATTACATTTTTTTAAAAAGTATTACAACTATATTTTTTAAAATTTAAGTGTATTAACTCAAAATATGTTAATGAAAATTGCTGTAACTTACTTCCTAATAGCGTTGGATGCCTCTGCCCAACATTTGATGGCTTCCTTGTAGCGACGTTTTCTGTACAAATAACCACCCAAGTATGTATAAGGATAAACATGATGATTGTCATAATATTTAATAGCAGAGCCTATTGCCTCTTGGAAAATGACTAAGGGTGGTGGTCGACCAGGCGTGGGTGAGATTTCCTCAAGGTCACCAAGATTACCTAGAGCCATTGGATACCTAAAGCACAAAAAAAATATCTAAGCATACTAAAACATTAATCTATTATAATTGGCTTTATATTGTAACATTAATGGTATCAGCGTGAATATTTTATAATAAACAAGGTAAAATGATCTTACTTCAATAGGTGACCTTTATCATATAGGAGCCAAAGCAATTCCTATTTTTTAAGAAAAATAACAGTTTAATAGAATCTTGAAAAAGGATTTAAAAGGTTAATAATATTTCTTGGTATCAATAATTAAATATAAAAAGGGGCCAAACATGAAGAGAATGTCAAAGGATCTAGTTGAATTTTATATCCAATACAATATAAACATTGCTAAACTAGCAATATAGGAACAAAAATAATTATTATTACAATAAAAAAATTTAAAAGCTAGATGTAGGCCTAAATATTTGTCATTTCAATTTGTAAAAGCCTATTATGATAACAGAAACTTAGGCAAAATAGTTTTAAACAATACCTGCTGCAGTGCTCCCATTTCAATACTGTCTGTAGAGAAGTTAATTGATGGATTGATAGCAGACACAATTGCAGACACTTCCATCTTGCGGTCACATATAACAGGGTGACCATTCAAATATAACCATGACTTTTCAGCTACACTTAATGCAATAGACTGTCCTCGCTTGTCCTCATTTCCTTTACCTAGTTAATGATTTTAAAATTACTGAATGTTAATAAATTTCACCAACAGAGAGAGAAAACTGATTCATTTTGAAAGACAGAAAATGAGTTTGAAAATGCTAAACCAAAAGGAATTGTGCATATATTGATACAACAACAAAGAGGGTGGAGTGTGTTACTGTATTGCATTACATAAGGTAGGAGTAATACATTACAAAACACTGTTTACAACACTACCATTGAATCAGTAACTGATTTTCTTTATTAATTTTTTCTCTAAATTTCTGTAATACAGAATGGTTGAGAGAATCGTTTACGATACATTACTTGCTTCCAACATCTTATTGCTGTGCTAGTCTATCTAAAGGCCTTTAATATGTGCTTGATATCATATTCACTTTGAAAAAAAAAATCTATAAAAAAAATTATACCATGCCAAGTCACTTCAGCAGTATCAGTTCCATCTTCACCAAACACAACCCATGCATGATCTTCAGACAATGCTAAATGAATATCATTCTGTCCAAGCAATTGTGCAGCTGCAACAACTCCAAATGCTACTCCAAAACAATCTAATTTGTTTCCTGAAATTCAAAAAAGGCATATCTAATAGCAAAGGTTAAAAGTCAATTCAAAATAATTAGCCCTAATGTGTAATTAAAGTAATCAAACAGTTTTAGTTGACAGCAAGCCTAGTTAACTGCATTGAGATGTATTGTAACTTTCATCAGATATGTTACACTCAGTGGCATAGCCAGGATCGTCTCAAGGGGGGGGGGGGGGGGGGGGGGGGGGGGGTTCCAATTTTTACCAGAGGACAAACTTTCGATTTACACCCCCCCTCATACTATGGGGGTTATGACCCCCCCCCCCCCCCCCCACTGGTTACAATTAAAACGTTAAAATACAGTATGCCTGTAGACCCATTGCCCTAACACACAAAAAGGACAATAAATAGCAAACATTTGATAGTATTAATAGGGACAGTAAAATTAATAGCCAATAATTATAAACCAGTGTGGGTCTACATATTTTTAAACAAGAGCTTTAATTATTATAAACTAACTAGGCTACATCCATATTCATATAGTAACTAGATCTACATATGATGGCCTATTAAAAGACCCCTATTTAATTTCATAATTTGTCCTAGGCTTATCTCTTTTTCCAAATTAAAATTATACTAATTATTATACTTCTGTGAAGTGTATATAAACCAAACTAAGTTACCAATGGGTATGATCTTCCGGTAGGTAGACCTATTACTACTAGTATTTTGTATTTTATTTTTGACACCGACCCCGGGTAGCTTCCCCTATGACTGGAGACAGGTCATACAGTGAGTAGTCATACTTCTGAATCATACCTGTCAGAAAACTATACAAAGATTGTAGATGTGCTTTATCTTTGAAACTACGAGACAGCGAACTCCAAATAACATCTGAAATTTTCTTCACAAGCTCTCTTGTTGAATATTCACCAGGATATTTAGTCAGATCTACTGATCCCTTTACCAAAGTTTCAAATTTAGTATACAAAGCGTCAACTGTACTCAAGTCGACAACTGGAAATATTGGTCGCAGTAATTTTGCATCCTCGCTGGCCGAAACAGCTCTGTTCAGTGTTAACGTATTTTCAATGCAACCCAAAGTTATTGATAAAAGAGCAAGATTTGGCTCATCTGGGCCATCAATTTGCTCTTTGAAAAGATTTACAACAGATGCAATGTCAGTAAGTGGAAAATGCTTCTTCTCTCGATCTCGAAAGCCCGCCATCTTTGATGCTGATGGTTGGAGTGATGTGGCCAGGAAAAAGCAACATTTTCGTAGTGATATAATTAATGGAATTACATCGAGAATACGAATTACATTTATTTTAAAAATAACTAGATTTAACTTTTTTCTCCAGTAACTTTCAAATTTAATTGTTAAAAATTCACTAACATTAACATTCAATTCTGCAAACTAAAATATTGAATATAACGTTAAACGATAATGTTTAAAATATTTAAAAACGTGTTCCATTAAATAGTGTGACGTTTTCAAAATTTTAATTAGGGCAGGAATGTTATTAATTATTCATAATACCGAAAGTTACTTATTAATTAAGAAAAAAAAAATAATCCACGATACGTGATTCAAGATTTTTTTTTAAAATTCGATTTTCATCCAATGTGGCAACACATGTTCATATCGGTGAACATGAGGTCTTTGAGCGCTCATTAACTAGTTATCTATTTAAAAATAACTGCTGATTCACTATGGCAGCGCGGTTAAGCAACAATCGATTGATTGATTTCTGCTCTTGATAAATGTTATACGGGAGGCCTGAGCTAACATCTCACTGCAAAACAATTATATCTGAGCGCATGGGTTAACGGCAGTTTTGTTTATATATTTAAATAGTAAATAGAAATGCATGGATTGGCATTTTTAATAAAAATGCCAATCCATATTTTATTTATTAAGGCCCAATAAATATTCACTTCCATATTATTAATAAATGATGTGCTTGTTTATTAGTAATCAAATCAAGAAAAACTGTTAATTTAAATTTTAAAATATTACACTGAAAATAGTGAAAATGGTGAAAGAAACAAGAGGGCATTGAATGTTATACATTTTATTTACAAGAACTATTCATACAATGTCTGTAGGGAATTTATATATTTTTCTAAGCTCTCAATATCTGTTAACAAGTAAGAAAATCTTTTGAGTTTTTATTTAATAGTTTACCAAACAGAATTTTAACCTGTGTTTGACCTTTATCAGCCTTTGGAGTTATATTTACCTTGCCTGAATCAGGCAGATGGCTTTCAACATTTACTAAAATAGAAATGGTTCTTTAGGGAATTTGAATTCAGTTTTATGAATAACAAAAATACAGCATTTATCAAGCATAACTAATTCGACATGTGATGTGGTATGGAGTCTTGTATTAAACTGCTTCAGTAGAAAGATTGAAATTAGGAGACTAAATCAGCTGTTTTCAATAGTTTTTTTTAAAATGTATGTACCTTCTAAAAAGGTTGAGATTTAAATAATAGCTCTGGAAATATTCTTGCACCTGGCACATGACAGATTAATTTTTAATTAGAATGTATTCATTATCTTAAGTCACAGGCGTTTACAGCCATAAGCAAAAAGGAATCAAAGTCTTTTAAACAATGACTTGTTTAAATGATTTAAATTTCTTAAATTAGCTTCCTTTTTAATAAAAAATATAAAGACTTAACATCATTAAGTTGGTACTCATTTGCAAACATACTATTTCCTTAAGAAACCACTAACAACAGATTAAAAATTGTGGTTTCACCCAGAACAAATAGGGAATGCAATAAAAAGTCTCACTGATGCCCTCATATCAATTGTGTTAATGCTACATTCAAAATATTAACTTTATAACAAGTTATTCTATAACTGTGTCCTCATTTTCATTCAAAAATATATCTCAAGTGCATTCTTACAATTAAAAATCAGACAGTATTTACATGATCATAATGTACTGAGATTTGTACAGATGAGAATAAACTTTAAATGGAGCAACAGCCAAAGTGAAAACAACATCATTTGTACTAAATTAACACATCAATGTAATGTTCGACCTCAGCAATAAGACAAAACATATCGGTAAAAAAAACATCTCATTCTCTCCGCTTCTTGTTGCTGCTACTACTTTTGCTATCATAATCTCTTGATGATCGAGATTCATCTGCTGCCGACCTCTTTTGACCCTTCTTAGCCTCCGTAATAAACCTATCCAAATTGAAAGGATCTTCCTCAACATCTTTGGTGAACTGAACTGGCCCTTCTCGCCTGCGGTTCCTGTCTGTGCCTTCGAAGTCTTTGTCAGGAACAAACCTGATTGACAATGTTCGTTTGATATTAGATATATAAAACCTTAAATATTAATTTGCTTAATATAACACATCAATTTTCTTTTTCTTAATAACGTTACTTTGATTCTTAAACAGTTAGTATGTATGATAGTAGAAATAATGTGCCTGACAGTAGAAACAAATGTGCACCATACCTCTTCTGCTTCATTATTGTTTCTAGGTCATCACCATAAAGATCATTGTCTAAATTCTTAGATGGGCGATAAATGGACTTGGAAATAGTTCCTTCTACACGCCATGGTTTGTCATATACGTTGTAGGCTTCATCGTCACCAAAACCACTATCCATGCCCTAAAGTAGAAAATAAGAAATTTCATTGACAATAAGTGAGCATATAAAATTGGACAATCCACAAAGCTATGGGCATTTAATGATCTATAGCTCTAATTTCATACACACCTTAAAACTGAACACTTTCAAACTTCATATGGTCATTAACTATAAGAGTAGGGGGGAAAATGGCTAACCTTGGATTGATTAAAAAGCCTCTGATCAAACTGAGTTTCCCTGCTACCCCCAGCTCCTGGGTTGGGCATTCCAAGTGCAATTTTTTCACTAATATCTCTTTCTTTGTCTCTCTGTAGTCGATTTCTGTACAAGAAATTTAATTCTTTAATATATTCATCATTTTAAAAGTGAAATGACAAAATAATACTAATTTAGCACTGAGAGGACAAAGTCAAAGGATATAATTGTCATAATTATGTCAGCAGTTTACAAAATGTTATGATGAGTAGCAGTGACATTGCTAATTTGTGTCAAGGTGTTTCTAAGTAAAGCTGAGTAATTTTTATTTTTAAGAATTGTAATGTTTCCAGAATCTGGAGCAAGCTTAGAATAAGTCTAGTCTTGTACTTTGTCTGGAGTTAATGTTCCTGGTGTTTACTACACACAAACCTACCACAAGTTGAGCATGTGAAAAAACCAGGGTTATGATAAGCTCAATTCAAAGGAAACAACAAATAAAAATTGCATCTACATAAATTAGGTACCGTTTATCTGGTGCAGCTCTAGCAATGTTTCTCTCTCTTTGTCTTTCCTTCGCTCTGTCTTTCCTTAAGTCATCTCTCTCAGCAGCAGCAGTATCTTCTTTATCTAAGAAGTTATGTTAAAACTCTTTAGAAAAAAACTCATCTGTTAACTACAATATTTTTTATACAGATACATTAAAAAAATTCAAATTAACTAGAGATAGAACAGTAAAATGTTTATAATTTTTGGAATTAGTCTATGGAATTGCTGCCAAGACAAGTACTTTGACCAAAACTTTAAGTCGCTGTGTTAACTATACAAAGCTACCACAAACTGAGCAAGTGAAAATAAACCAGTTGAATATTAAACAAGTGATAATAAAAGTGGTGATCTCTTACCTCCAACATCCTCTCTGCGAATGCCTGCTCGTTCCTCCCTGGCTTTCTGGGCCAACTGTCTCAAGTTTTGTTCTTTTTTCTCCTTAATAGTTTTTACTTTATTCTTTTCCAAATTCACTCTCATCTCCACAGCCTCTCTGGCCTTTGTTCAAAAGAGAAAGACTTATTAGTAATTTCCTAACTACCACCTACTATTGAGTATGATAAGAAATGAAAATAAATAATCCATCAATAAATAAAAACTGATTACCTTTCTATCTGCTATGTATAAGGCTTCTGCTAATTTGGCAAAATTTTCATTGATGTGAACACCCTGAAGCCCCCTGCCATCAGCTGCTAGACGCTTGTCTAGAGGTATTGTGTAACCCTAATATAAAAAGCATCACTAAATAATTGTGCAAACATTTATTTGACCAGCGCTATTTTCAAATATTTAAAAAATATACCTAAAACCCTTAACTGTTCAATAATAAATTAATATGGTTTCGAAAAATGTAGTTGTGCTATTTTTAATGATAAAATGTTCCCAAAATCTGGAGCAAGTCTAGCAAAATCATACCTAGTCTTGTACTTTGTCTGGTAAATACTTTTCCTGGTGTTTACTACATGCAAATCTATTCAAGTTAAGCATGTGAAAAAACCAGGTAACTTACTCTTTACTATTTTACTCTTATCCCCCACAACAATTTTTTCACAAGTTTTAACCATCCTTTAGCTAAACCAAAATGTCAACAAATCTCAATAGTACATAAAAACAAAGCTTTGAATTTGTAAAACAATAAACATGCTTACTCTATTATTTTTCCAGTTTGAAATGCAAGGAGGTATCTTCCAGTCCTGTTGTTCTTTAACTGACACCTGAAAATGACAATACTTTTCTACAAACACAAAATTTACAACATCAGTTTAACTTTTCTTTATAACTTTTTACAATTTTTAAATACTATTATAACAACAACAAAAAAAGTATAGTTTAAGTACATTGATAAATAAGTGGTTAAATGCATCTGATGTAAAGTAACATATCCATTAAGGGAAGTGTAAGCTGTATGTAATGTTTAAATACCAGACAAGACAGAGCAAGTTAGGATCATGACATGTACAAACTTTTCTGTTTGGTGAGTGCATCACTGGTGCTGGAGGAGAAGGGGGTCCCCTAGGAATTTTCTTATTGACTCTGGAATATACACATTTTCAAAAATATAAACCATGCTATAAGATAAAATAAATCAATATGTGAATTATATAACCTAGACACTATAAAATCAAACTTAGTCCTCTTTACTCATTGTGGAACACAGATCCTCAACTATAATCTCCCAATGGAAAATTACTATATACTGATGGAAAATCTAAATCCTCTTACTTAAATCTAGGAGGCTCCATAGGATCTTTCTGTGCTTCAACCATTCTAATAATTCTCTGTTTAGCACCTGAGTTAAATGCTACTCCTTGTTGTGATGGTGTGTACCTAATTGATGTGACAAGTATGAAAATATTTATTAATCAATTTAGAACAGTTTTGAATGAGGTATCAAAACACAAATGAAACCTAAGAAATTACCTAATATACTGAGCTGGTGCTTGTTTCTCTGCATGCCTCACTGGCATCGCAGCACTGATCTTTACAGAAACCAACTTTTCCAATGCTAATCTGGTCTTTTCTGTGGTTTCTTCAACAGCCTCTTCAGAAGGCTTTTGTAATGAGGGATCATCATCATCTATTGGTTTAGGCAGAAGATCTTGAGGACGTGAATGAATCACCTGTTGTAATAAAATATAAAATATATATAAGTTCAAACTTTAGAAATATTACAGTTTACTTCAATTTTCAACTAAGTTTAATCTACTTTTACCTTGTGACGTCTCTAGACCATACATTTATATTATAAATAAGTTGATACAACAGCTATGTTGTGTTTCTGTGATAACCAATATGGCTATGCATGTGTGAGAGTGTTTGATGTTAAAAATTAAACCAAAAAATATCTTTTTCTCTGATTCTTCTTTTTGTGTAAAAGTTTGTAGTTTCAGCTGCTTAGATTTAAATCAGACTTTATTGTAGTTTAGTGTAGCTAGAATGAGGATATTGACAAGAATATTTACAAGATGGATCAATAATAAATTTTGTGACTGAATAAAATAACAGCCTTTTAAATTCTTTAACTTTACTTTGAAATATTTTGTCCTGAGATATTTTGTCATGTGATCACAAATTTAGATTGTGAAAAAAAAAGGATCACTATTTTAAAATATTAACATGTTTCCAGAATCTGGAGAAGTCTAGCAAAATCATACCTAGTCTTGTACTTTGTCTGGTAAATACTTTTCCTGGTGTTTACTACATGCAAATCTATTCAAGTTAAGCATGTGAAAAAACCAGGAATATAAATAATTCAGTAACAAATGTGTCTAAGAAGAATTTAAAGAACCAACCAAGTAAAATAAAAAGTTTTCATGTACTTCTCTTAAATACTTATCTTTTAATGTATTTCAAATTACACATTTCCTTTTGAACTATTTATTGAACATGTAATGCTTTGCCTCACACTATAAAATTTGTATGCAATGTTAATATTCATTCCCATGGATTAATGATTTAATATTATTTTTATGCCTTCTAGCAACTTACGGTATTTCACTGAAAAGGTTCTATAATAAGTATACCATGAAAAAAAAAAGAAACATCTTACTTTATCTTTACCATGTCCCTGCCTAGCAATCGCATCATATTTTATTTTTCCTTCAGCATCTAATTGAACAGCCAAGGCATTTGAAGAAGTCTGTTTTTTCCCCATTCCCAGGGGATACTGAGCAACTGGAATTTCAGGATAGGCACCACCATCTCCAAAGTCCTAAGGTGTGAACATACAATAGAAATATTAAACTCTGACAGGTTAACTGAGCTGCTGCTCAAAAATAAATATAAACATTTTAAATAGAAAATTGGCTTAGTTGACATCTGGATATAAATATGATTTAACAGAAAAAAAATTTAAAATAATTTTTATGTTTAAAAAGCTAAGCAGTGTATAATTTTTAAGGACAACACGATGTTTAATTAAGAGAATGCTATTAGGGTCGAGGTTATAATACTATAAAAAAGTATCAATCTTTAAGACAATGTGATTCTTGTACTGTATTATCATATATGAGTAAATAAAGAATTCAGGCATACCTCTGGTGTTCTGGGAACCCAACCTTTTCTGTGACCATAAGGAGGAGCAGTTCGGTTGCTAGTAACAGGTAACACCTATACATACACAAATATTTATTAAAACAATGCTAATATAAGTGACATTTTTTAAGGCTTTCAATATTGTTTAAATTTTTATATTTTTAGTTTTTATTCTTCAAATACTAAAACTATAAATTGGGTAAGTAGAGCTATATACATTTTAGAAAAGTTAAAACTATTTAAAAATAATGATGACCTGCATTTGGGCCCTGTACTGCTTTTCTTCATCTTCCCTATCAAATCTCTGCACTGGTGCTGGTAATATGCTGTAAGTATGTAACAAATATTTTTATTGTAAAAGACAAACTAGGCTTTTAAGTAATCTCTTAAAAGAATCAAACATATAGGCCAGTGCAAAAAAAAAAAACCATACTTATTGCAAATTAAAGGCATTATCTCTTAATGGTAACTGAGGTATTGTAAGTGTAAGTGATCAATGTTTTGCTACATTTATATCAGTTTGATACACAATACATTACATATAATTAAATTTAGCTTAAACTATTTCTTGATTGAACCTGTATCACAGCTAAGTTATAAATTTAAGGTCTAAATAATTATTAGGTATTTGTAACTATAGTTATACAGTTACAAAATACATTAGCTCAGACCAAAAAACAAGAAAAAACCTAAAAACAACTGACCAACAGCGCTGGGCCAGGATTAACTCAAAGGCAAGATTAAAAAATTACCATGTCTTACTTTTGTAGATTAAATGTATTTAATCTTTTAGGGGACGTAACAAAATTTTGCTTAAAAAGTTAGTTGTTTTTCTTGTCATATGCAAACAATTGCCTACATGACAAGAACATCTCCATGATATAAAATAAAGTTTTTGACAGGACAAAATAATTACTTCATAATTTATTCTATATTTTTCCTTGCAACATTTTTTCCCATAACTATAAATGGTGCAAAAAATAGTACTGTCTCATTATTTTCAGGTGGTGTATCCAGAATCTGGAGCAAGTCTAGCAAAATCATACCTAGTCTTGTACTTTGTCTGGTAAATACTTTTCCTGGTGTTTACTACATGCAAATCTATTCAAGTTAAGCATGTGAAAAAAAACAGGAATATAAATAATTCAGTACCAGTAGTAAAACATGGGCATAGAGGACATGCCATTTTTTACCATTAAAAAAAGATAAATGACTAATGACAAATATTTGGGAAAATATTCCCAAAAACAATGAGCACTTAAGTTTAGGCCCAATAAAAGCATGTTGCATTATAAGATAATCAATACCACAAATCAGCCCAGAAAAATGGTGTATTAGTTAAATAATTGCAAATACAACCCCCAAAATTGCACCCCCCCCTCAAACTTTTGATTTGCACCCCCCTCAAACTTTCATTTTGTTTTTTCAACCCATTTTGGCTCTCCCCTAAGGTCGGCGCCCGGGGACATATGCCGCCCCCCCCCGCCAAAAGTATATATTTGCTATATAAATTCCATTTTTTTCAGGGGGGGGGTATGATTTGTATTGCTCTGTAGCTGATCTAGAACTATTTTTTGTAGTCTTCTCTGCTAAAAATTAACACATAGATCTAGATTGTAGATCTAGACGGCAGAAGCCTAGAATCAACATACCGAAGTAGCTCATCAGTCCACCACTGTAAAACTCCCTTTTAGCGTATTTTATTCCCCGCTTCACGTTCACCTCCAGTTGAGCGTATTTTATTATAAACACAACCGAAACACACAAAAACATTAGGAAAATACTAGGATTAGAGCTAGATCTACTTATTTTTTTATGAATGGGTTTATTGTAATTAGAAAAGGTAAAAAAAAACCATAAAAAAGCATTAGATCTGTTCCAATTAAAAATCGCGTGATCATCAGCGGGAGAAAAATCCTTACACAGTCGCGAGTTCAACGAGAGTTCACATTGACTTTAATTATCAGAATACTTCATAGCTCGGGGGAGAAAGATCCTTACACAGTCGCGAGTTCAACGAGAGTTCACATTGACTTTAATTATCAGAATACTTCATAGCTCGGGCAATAGCTATTTGAAATTGTGTTGGCCTCAGTTTTGGGGTCATTGTGAATTCATAAATGTTTAGGCCCCTATTTATTAGTTTTTTTCACTAAATCTAGAATTTACGCAATTATCAATTTAAACATGACCACTGAATAATAGACATCCATATTTAATCCATTAGGCACTAACTTTGGAGTTTTTAGTTCGTTTTAAACTAAATTAGTTAATTTAATATTTATTGTCAATCACTGCCATGTCCAACACATCTCTCCATGACACCTCTTCTTAAGCTTGAAGCTAAAGAAAACCACAAATAAGGTTAGACTTTTTAAGTGGCCATGCACAAGACTTCCTCACTAGTGATCACCAAATAGCGGTCACGTGGTTTTTAAAAAATAAAAATAAATTGGTTGTGATACTGACGCCGGTCTTATAAAAAAACAGCTCACAATATTTGATTTCTTTTTTCATAGACTGATAAAACTAATAATGCTTTACGTTCTCGCTCATTTCTGTACCTACACTGTTGATATTTTTTAAATTCTATTAATTTTAATTAAACCAACTTTTGAATTTAGCCTCCGTTTTCCAAACCAAATTTTAAAATGCTTTTCTGGCACATCTAACCCTGCCACTTATGGTTTGTTGTTATGACACGGAAATCCCGCCATTTTGCGCGTGGTAAACATTTTTAAATGTAATTAGTTGAAGGTCTCTGGAATTTGGCCGAAAAATCGCCGGAAATCAAACGTCCGGTGCGGGCGCCATATTGTTGTTAGCAACCGACGACGCATCCAAGTTAGCGAGAAATACTACTATTTATAGTATCATGCGTGGGAGATACTTGTAACAATACAAACTTAACCGCCTTGCAATTGTGAGTTACGTTTACGTACTTCACCCATTGCCAAGAAAATCCTAACTGACACATGAACATTGCACATTCAATATTCTAAATTTGGATGATTATAGTAGTTTTTCTCACTAAATCTAGAATTTACGCAATTATCAATTTAAACATGACCACTGAATAATAGACATCCATATTTAATCCATTAGGCAATAACTTTGGAGTTTTTAGTTCTTTTTAAACTAAATTACTTAATTTAATATTTATTGTCAATAACTGCCATGTCCAACACATCTCTCCATGACAACTCTTCTAACCCTTGAAGGTAAAGAAAACCACAAATCAGGTTAGACTTTTTAAGTGGCCATGCACAAGAGTTCCTCACTAGTGATCTCCAAATAGTGGTCACGTGGTTTTTTTTTCAAAAAAAATTTGGTTGTCATTTTCGCGGCTGGTCTTATAAAAAAACGGTTGACGATATTTGATTTATTTTTTCATAGACTGATAAAACTAATAATGCTTTACTAAGGAAATCAATTTTGTAATATGGAAATCGATATTTAAAAAGTTCTAGTATTTTTGATGAAACCAACTTTTAAATTTAGCCTTCATTCTCCAACGCAAATTTTAAAATGCTTTTCTGGCATATATAGCCCTGCCACCTATAGCTTGTTGTTATAACGTGAAAGTCCTGCCATTTTGCGCGTGGTAAACATTTTAAAAACTAATTAGTAGAAGGTCTCTGGAATTTGGCCAAAAAATCGTCGGAAGTCAAGCGTCCGGTCCGGACGCCATATTGTTGTTAGCAACCGACCACGCCTCCAAGTTAGCGAGAAATACTAATCATAGATACCAGTGTATAGCTAGTCTCATAACGCGAGTTGAATTACCTCCCCTGACCCGCTTTTTTATGGCCACTTTCTAGTTCGTTTTTTTCGATCGCGTCTCGGCACTGTTGCTAAAAATAGCATTCGCGCAATACCATACTGGTAAATCTGTTTGGCGTCTGCTACACGTGATAGATCGTTGAATGGCCGACAAGCTGATATAAAAATTATTGCGACCGGATGCGATTTTCGTGGAAATTGAGCTAGATTTAGCAAAAGACAGCTATATTTGTGTAAAATATTATTATTTATACTTCTACTTACACAGATATTTTGATAACTGCAGTTCAGCCGTCCATTTTTCTTTTAAAATGTATCTTTAGAATTTCTGTACCTTTTGGCAATCGGTCAGGAGCATTTGCGCACTAAACCCACCCCCCTACGGCAGATCCGATTTTTTTCCCAGTGAACTCGTACTGACCTCCCACATAGCTAAGATAGTACATTGATACTGATGGGAAAGCCTCTAAATCTGTATTCCTACTAGAGATCTAGATCTAGAAATAAATCTAGATCGTGGAGTTTTTATAATGACTTTTAAATTGAATGTCTCCAGTTTAAGATATTTTTTTTTTCAAAACATAGCTACTTTTAGTACTATATTTAAGTATTTCAAACCCTTTTGGTAGTTTTTTCTTAAACTTAGACCTAGATCTAGTGATTAGATATCTATATTTTGTACTTATAACTTGCAGGCCTATTAAAATAATAATAAAACAGCTTGCTTGATAACTTCATCAGGTCATTTCATAAATACAAATGTTATAAACATATAAAACCACAAAACCATAGGTAATATCTGAATTCTGTAGCCTACCTTACATTTAGGCTAATACTGAATTAAAAAGAAATTACATTAAGGTTTGAAATTAATACAACTTGTAATTAAGAAAGAAAGCTTCAATTCTAAATACTACAAGATATAATAAAGAACAAACAATGAAACAAATTCAAAGCTTTTTTCAACCCATTTAGTCGAAAAGATTTTTATTTTTTCCGATACTGACCAAAATAAGTTTTTAAAGCTTAGGCCTAATGTTTTTACAAACATAACTCAATTTTATTAGGCCCCTGTAAACATTAATTAAGATTCCTCTGTAGACAAAGCAATCTATTTGGCAGATGAAGTAGAGTTCATGTTTCTTGACCTCGGCATATAAAGTGATTGTCCGTGTGGTCAGCGATATTCACAGCCGCCTTTACTTTTTACCTTTAATTTCCCCAATGTATATCAGGTACCCATCAGAAATGGGTGGACTCTAATTGAATTTTATTAAACAAACATTTTGATATAGGCCTAGATCTATAATCTATAACATTCCAAACAACATCTGTTCTGTAGAATTTACCTTTCTGCTTCCAAATGCGGTATTTTCCAATTGAAAATTCATCACAAAACATACAATAAATTATATAAATGGCATTTTATAAATTTATATAAACTATTTACTTTCACCTTGGTGTAAAAAAATGTAGGTATAAGCAAACTGATTTCAATAGTAAGAAAGAATCATGTCTTTTCTTGCTTACTAGCTTTAAAACAAGTGAATTTGACTTTTTACCTGCGTTTTTGGTCGCGTTTCTATATATTTTATTTGCGACACTAAAAAAATTATATTTAATCAACCGATTATGCTCAATTAATAAAATTGGTACTGTTGGATTGCATTTTTAAAGCTCTACAATTATATGCTATTCTTTTTATAATTTGAAGAAATTTGAATTTATATGAGACTAACTACAGTGTAGTAGTATTGTAATCGCGACTAATTTTATGATTAGAAATTAGGGTTAGGCGTAATTTTGGACCAGGGTTGGGGTTAGGGACAGGGTTAGCATTGACATTAGCCAGCCATGTGTGTATTTAGTTAACTATCGGTAACCTAACACCCCTTTTTTAAAGAAGATTCTATTTTCAGACACCGGTGTAAACATTCTCCCCAATGTTTTACTGATGTTTTTGTGTGTTTCGGTTGTATTTATAATAAAATACGCTCAACCGGAGGTGAACGTGAAGCGGGGAATAAAATACGCTAAAATGGAGTTTTACCGTCCACCACGGTCAGAAGCAGGAGTCGAGTGCGTCGACTTTTCTTTTGTAATTAATTATAATTTTTAAATAGTCACTAACGAAAATTGACTAAGTAGATGTTTGTTTTAGAGAAAAATTTGCAGCACATGTAATTTGCATACACGTGTAACTCCCACTATGATAGTAAACAACTTATGTTGATTTAACTGCTAGTTTACGAGTTTACAAACCTGGAAAGAGTAGCCATCTTGAAAAGTTATAAATCTTTCTCCAGCAGAAGGCGCTGTTGACTGCTTTTTATTATTGGACTTTCTGAACAGAAGAGTGCTAGATAGAGATCTAGAGATCTAGTTTTTTTTTTAATGCATAAAAACGTATTAATAACATTTGTAACAAGCTTTTATATAGATCTAACTATGCACTAAAAAAGAGAAAAATAAATGATTTTCTTTATATATATAATATTGAACTCCTATTTAAATAACTAACATGAAAAGCTTGGGTCGCTATTATGTACTAAATACCTTTGCTAGAATTTAAGAAACGACCCACGCTTTAATTTTTGGGTATTTAAATAGTAGTTTATCATTTTATGTTAAAATAAAATCAGTTATTTTCTCATTTTTAGTACATAATTAAATAAAAGCTTATTAATACGTTGTTTATGCATTTTTCAGTTATTTAACATTTTAATACAATAGAGTTGCATGACTAACTAAAATCAACTGCGCACCAAATAAAATGAAAAATGTGCGTATAGCGCTGCAAATAGTGCATTATATTTTTTAATTAATAATTTAAAAAATTAAGAATCAACCAAAATAAGTCTAATTTGATGTCTGATTGCATTGTCATCGTGTCTTAACTCTCGTGCCAAGATTTGGATAAATTGGTCATTTAGAAATTGTCGAAATTTCGCGTGCCAGTTTCGATCCCTGACGACAAAAACATTATAGACAGAGGAAGCAAGTAAAATAATAAAATAATAGCTTGTAAAAATAATATCATATATTATAATCATATTTTGATGATAAAATTATAAACAATAGTTTATTATATAAGTTAATACGTGGCATTTAGACAAGAAGTGTTTTCACTGTCGAGCTAAGTCCAAAATTGTGTTCCTGTTTGTCTTTTCTTTCCAGTCTGTAACCACACTGTTGTGTGCTGACGAAAACCTTGGGTTGAAACGTCCATAGTATTTGTAACTGTGAGGTAACTATACACTATGATCTGTTTTATTACTAAATTAAAAAAAAGAATAGCCCTTATTTCCGGGGGATGGGGGGCAGAGGCGTAGCGACCCTTCCCGGCGCCCGGGGACCAAACTTTTCGATTTGCACCCCGGGGGCGGTAGTTTTTCTTGAGCCCCCCCCCCCTTCCGAAAGGATGCCTGGAAGAAACTCCGGTTTGATTTACCAAAATAAAACGGTAACTCTTTTCTTATACCAGTGTACCTTACTCTACGCTAGATTTATCGCCTATCCTAAGTTTTAAGCTTGTGATTGTATCATTGTGTTTTTTACAGTAAACAGAATCGTCCAAAAATCAAAATCACGTATCGCTGTTTCAGCTGATTAAAAACTCCCCACCCCTGTCGTCACACGAACAGAGTTTCTTCCAGGCATCTCTTCGGGGGAAAAAATTCTACCGCCCCCCCCCCCCCTCGAACGAAATGAAATTATATAATTTATATAGAAAATATATACTTTAAACAGTGTCCGCCCCCCCCTCCCCGAAAATTTAAAGTGCCCCCCCCCCCCCCGGAGATAAATGTCTGGAAGAAACACTACACACGAAGTCAAAAAAACTACACTACCCCATAAAATCCGACACTCTAAAGTCCTAAAATTAAAATAAACATAACGAAAAAGTAATTGTTTCGTAATTTTTGTTCGTATTAATTAAAAATATATGCTATGTCACATTTCTGACAAACGAATCACAAAAAGCTGTTTTTTTACTTTCTCGTATATACGTAGTATAGAGAAAGTATTGTAATCGTGCAAAAAAAAATCGAGATTTTTACAAATCTCGACGTTTTACACGTCACTGATACGGAAAAACATAATTTTGCAATCTTGTCCGTATGTCTGTGTGTGTGTGTGTGTGTCTGTGTGTGTGTCTGTGTGTCCGTGTGTAAACCCGATAACTTGAGTACCGTTACAGCTAGGTTGATGAAATTTCATATATAAGTATTATATCAAAATCGTAGATCCGTATCAACTTTTGAGCGATTTCCGACAACCGGAAGTGGTACTTTTTCTACTTTGAATTTTTCAAAAGCCTATAACTTGAGTACTATTTCAGATAGATAAATGAAATTTCACATGTAAGTAAAAGATCTAATTCTCTACCTTCTGTTAAATTTTGATTAATTTCCGTTGACCGGAAGTAGTAATTTACGCTACTTCCGATTTCTCAAAAAACTAATGTAAATTTATTAAGTACTAATACTATTGCGCACTATTATACACACCTTTATTAGGCGTTCGCTTGGTGCGCAATTGTTTTTTACTGAGATTCTATTCTATTTTTAAAAGTTTCAGTATTTAAAATGGATTAAAAATCATAACTATATCCCCAGTTACCATCCCCTGTTGTTTTATATAAGAATATTCGAGAAAGTTTAGGGGAGATCACTACCGGTTTATTTAAAACGTGTAGCCACTATATCAAAAGCTCAGAACCGCTGCTCTAAAGCTTAATAGCCCGCGAGTTGGGTTGTATTGCATTTTTTAAGTCATTAAATTATTTAATGGCTTTACAGACTACTCCATACTTTCTCACGGGAGGCCATAAAAAATATAAATTAAGAAAAAAATTCGAATTTCTAGAGAAAGCTTTTGTGCTAAGAATATAAGTTGTTGTAGTTCACATCTCGTTAGGCTAATCTTTAAACAAAATAACAGTCGGCATAGATCTACATAGAAAAATACTATCGTTTTACCTCTCAGCTTGTAAATGACGTCACACAAAAGGGGTAGGATACAGATTTAATTCAGAGTTTCTTCCAGGCACCTCTTCGGGGGTGGGGTGGGGGGCTTCCCCTCCCCCAAAAAAAAGTCTACGCCCCCCTCCCCCGAAAAATTCAACGCCCCCCCCCCCCCCGAACGAAATGGAACTTATATAGAAAATATATACTTTTACCAATGTCCGCCCCCCCCCCTCTCGGAAAAATTAGTCCCGTCCCCCCGGAGAAAATATCAAGCCCCCCCCCCCCCCGGCGAACATAGTCTTAAAGAAACACTGACTTAATGTGTGAGGGTATGTGACTTTATCAAGGGGGTTAGTTATTTTGCCTGTCGTCCCTCCTGGGATATAGGCCACTGGATGACGACCTGGCCCTTCTTTCTCACACACAACAGCAAATGCAAGATAAAACCATCTCTGGGCCTGAATATTCAAAGAGAGAAAAGTAAAGTTCTCAAAGGCAATGCATCAAACAGCAACCCTATAACATTGGCAGAAGAAGCCCTAGAAGAAGTGGATAGATTCACCTACCTTGAAAGTATTGTTGATAAGCAGGGTGGGACAGAAGCAGACATAAAAATAAAATAAGGACGGGCAAGGCAAGAGCAGTCTTCAACCAACTAAAATGTTTGGGGTTCTGGAGATTTAACCCTTGGAATAAAAATCCGGACCTTCAACACACTAGTAAAACCTGTTTTACTCTATGGAGCTGAGACATGGAGAATAACTGCTATAAATAAGAAGAAAATGCAATCATTTATAAATGCATGCCCCAGAAAGGTCCTGCGAATTCGCTGGCCTAAAATCATCAGAAATGATGTTCTATGGCGACGAACAAATCAACTGCCAACTGAAGTAGAGTTCCTCCAGAGAAAATGGAATTAGATTGGTAACACACCCAGGAAGCCTGTATCCAGCATAACAAGACAGGCCCTTACCTGTCATCCAAAGGGCAGGAGGAGGAGAGGCAGACCAAGAAAGATCTAGAGACTGAACTGGAAGAAGACACCAAGAAGATTGGATACACCCGGGGACAGTTGTAGAGACTAGCCCAGGACAGAGACGTCTGGAAAGCTCTTATGAAGGGGGAAGAAGGCAAAAATCGTGAAGTCGTTTTTAAATAACTCCGTAGTCTAAGAAATACAATGATTTATCTAGGATTAAAAGATCTAGTAATCATCTTGTTATTTATTGCCAGTAAGGTAAACTCTGTAATTATTTAGTCCTAAGGCTGTAGAAAACAAAGTTTTCTGGGTTTTTTTTTTAAAGGGCCTCCAAGGAAAACAAACCAATGTGGGATGTGAACTATAGGCTAATATACTTTATTGTATCGGTATGACTGATCACACACAAAAATATAACACTAAGTTCGTACATCTATACATGGCCCAGCTTTGACCATCTATTGGATTCGGACTAACAGCGCTGTAACTTTAATAATACAATGTCTATACCTATAACACAGACAGTTTTTTTTCAACGCTGGTTAGAGAGGTATGGAGAGAAGTTTTAGAATGTTATTAGAATCAACATTTCTTAGTCATTTACTTAAATTTCAAATTAATATGTATTGTTATTTAAAACATTTTTCTTTCTTTCTGGAAACGATAGCAAAGACAGGTGTAAGACCAGGTATTTAGAGTTCTGCATCGTATCTAGCTTCTTGGAATTCGTCCCAGAGTCCACCCAGCTCTGATGTGCACGTAAGGGAAAGTAAAGTTGGGGGGGGGGGGATATAGTGCTGACCAAACTATCCCTTTACTCACTGTACTTGCTGTCTACTGTCTAAAATGTGAGTGCCAAAGAGAAGCTGAGACCGAATAAGTTGCATTCTGACAGTTAACCTTCGTCATCCGCTGTGGCGTATTGGGTATCCGGCGCTGGGTATTCCAACACTCGTCTCCTAGTTCTTAAACCCTCTGTCAGAGTTCTTCAGACATCTCTTTAAAGAATATATAATTTAAACAGTGGTCGCTCACCCCATGAAAATTTAAATGCGCCTACATACCCCCGAGAGTTTTAAATGACACCCCCCCCCGAGAAAATAGTCTAAAAGGAACACAGCCGCCGATAAAAAGGTGATACCAATAGGTTTAAAAAATTGACCTTTAAAACAACAACAATGTCTTTTTGGTTTTAAAGGTGCATACGAAAAAAAATATTGTGATTAAAGCTGTTTCTCGTTGCAGATGGACTTTCAATTAAAAATTGACTTCACACTCAATGCTAGGAAGGGAGGAATACTATTTTTTGGAAGATACATTCAGTAGCATGTCACTTCTGGTCAGAATTAAGTTCTGTTCAGTCAGTCCATTTTGATATTACATGTTATACATCACCTCGAGATCGTCATGTTACCCCGTTCGTGCTCAAGACACATGGGGCATATGAAGGGATAGTTGGTCAACATTTTTTCCAACCTTAATATTGTTTCCCGCCAATATATATGTATATATATATATATATATATATATATATATATATATATATATATATATATATATATATATATATATATCAGTGGCGTAGCGAGGTCGGGTGTCACCCGGTGCGGCACTTAATGGTGTCACCCCCCCCCCCCCCCCCAGAGGCGTTGCGACCCTTCCCGGGGACAAACTTTCAAGTTTTCGATTTGCACCCCCCCTCAAACTTTCGATTTGCACCCCCCTCAAGTTTTTCTCTATATATTTTGCTATTTTTTGCCTTGGTGTCACCCCCCTAAATGGTGTCACCCGGTGCGGTCCGCACCCCCCGCCCCCCCCCCCCTCGCTACGCCCCTGATATATATATATATATATATATATATATATATATATATATATATATATATATATATATATATATATATATATATATATATATATATATATATATATCCTGCATACATTTAACACGTATATATATGCAAGTAGTCTATGCAGATACAGGCGCGTAGCTCTATTCGTGAATTTACTGCCTTTATTGAAGACATTGAATTGTGTGAGTACGACATTGATTGTACTCAAGAGGAAAATAAAAACAATTTTATTTCAAAGCGAATGAACTCAATGACGCTAGCACACCACGCGGGCAATTAGTTGCTTCGAACGAATCAACCTCGCGTTGACGCACTTGATCACCCACAAAACCCAGAGCCCCACCTCCACCCTCCTGTACTTACGCGTAACACAAATCTCCACGCAGGTTAGGCGTTTACAATGTGTTAGCCGGGGCGGAGGGTGTGGGGTGGGAGTGAGAGAAGGCACCTAAAAGCTGATTTATGACTTTGCACCAGAATTTTTTTTCGCAGCGGCTGAAGAGGCTATATCCAAATTGTGCAGCGACTTTAAATGCAGCTGGTGAGGACTACGACTGACTAGCTTGAGTAACTGTCGGGCCATTAGTTTCAAGACAGCTTAATGGCCTGATCTCGCTTCTCCTGACTGCCATTATGGCGACGTTTATTGGATTGCATTGTCTGATTGCATCACGCGCCTTTTATTCAAATTCCTATCTCAAGTGATCATTAAAGGTGTACATTTTTAAAGTTGCTTATCTTTTGATTTCTGGAATAAATAACAACGTAAGATGATATTGATGTAATTACTGCGAAACGTCACGAAAACTAGATCTACTTTTAAATTTGATAATCGCTGTGTCAAAACCATACTTTCAATATAATTTAGGTCTAGCCTACATGCTACATGTACATACATGCGCATGATACTTTGCCATTTTGTTAACGCTGTTAATAACACACAATGGTAAGAAATTAACACCCTCCATCAATGAAGTAACTGAAAAATGTTTTGAAGTACAGCAGTTAAAATGAAGATAGACGTGTCTGAAAATGTCCCTCACAATTTAAAATGAATATATATATATATATATATATATATATATATATATATATATATATATATATATATATATATATATATATAGTTCAGGTTCACACAGTTTGGTAATATTTATAATATTTTAAAGAAAAGCCATTTTAATTACCTATTTGAAACATTTATAAGAGGCTGAACTGGTTTTAACGACGTGCTACTTGAAAAGAGAAGCGAGTGGTGGGTGGGGGGGGGGGGAGAAAATATGACGTACATATTCAATGAATAATAGGACGGGATCAAAGTTTCTTCCAGGCATCTATTGGGGGGGGGGGGAGAGAGGGAGAGCACCGCCCTCCGAACTAAGTGGAATTTATATAGAAAACATATACTTTTACCAGTTTGCCCTCCCCCCACCCTGGAAAATTGTTCTCCGCCCCCCCCGCCTCGAAATATCAAGTACCCCCCCCCCCCCCCCCGGAGAAAAATGTTCGGAAGATACGCTGGACAGGATTGATTTGTAAAGTCCTAGAACAGACCTCAAACGACACAAGTATTTAAGATGTTTCGCATCTCGCATCTGATTGTTTTCTACCTATTGTACCTAACTCGTCTGCTTGACCTCTGGCTATTCTACATTTTTTCCTTTCTGTTTGACTATTAAACCTAGCCTAACTTACTTCATCATTATATATATATATATATATATATATATATATATATATATATATATATATATATATATATATATATATATATATATATGGTTTTGTACAACTTGTTTTGATTTCTGCAAACGATTAATCCCTGTTTAAACCACGACGTATGCTAGTATAGTTAGAATTTTTTTTTCATGCATGTTGGGTTTAAACATTTCTGGTCCCTATTTACCCCAGTCTCCCTTTACGAAATGAAATGATTCACGCTCTATTTATTTGGTGAAAATGAACGTTGGTTGTAAAAAAAAAAAAAAAAAAAAAAAAAGAAGCACTTAAATGGCAGTTAAATGTCTTTTAGATTCATGTCCGGCATATTTAATACTACTTACACAACATTTAGACTCAGTAGAACTAGAAGACAGTTTTTTTTCAATTATTAAAATCTAACATAGACTTTCACATTCCTTTTACAATGTAATATGCAAATCATACAGGCCCTACTGATGCTACATTTTACTTTTTAAAAAAAAAACGAAGTGCGTCTGGTGAATTTTCATAACGAATTTGTAAAAAAAAAAAAACACATTGCATTTCTTGCTTTCTGTTTTTCAATTTATTTATCTACATGCATTGAAGAAAAAGTTGTCTTACTCGTTTTGTATATATACCAAAACTATCAGTCAGGACAGGAATCTTTCTTTGTGAGTTTTTTTTAAGGAGTGGCGAAGAAAACCACGGCAAACTGCTTTTAAGGGGAGGTAATGTGCAATTTAAAGGACGAAACATGTAAGCCCTGCTCTCTGCTGGCGAAAGTCAAGAGGATCGGCGCTGTATCGTAACTTAAAAGGGAACAATCATGTAGGGATCGGCTCAGTTTTGGGCGCATGGGACATGGGAGATTTTCAAAGATAAGCTTAATAAATATTTATAACGTGCTCTTTATGTATCTCCAAGGCCAATAGGACTAATGGTAAGTAAGTAAGAGAGCGCTTTTGTAAACCGAAAACATATGTAAGTATATCTAGTTAAAATTAGCGGCTAAATAATACATTCTGAATGTTAAAAAAACATTATAACACAGCAAATAATATTAAACAAACGTTTAATATAGATCGCACGCATAATATCTGAGAACTATCGCTAGATCATTAACGATTAATAATAATCCAAACAACGTTCATGCAAATATTGAATATTGTTTATAAGCTATAGCCCTACAAAAAATAGCCCGAACATACCTTAAAAAGAGGCATATTAATAAAAAATTTCCTAATAAAAAAAACCAACTAAATTAAAAAAAAAATCATCATATCAATATAGTTATAGATAGATCTAGATCTAGACTAAAAACAACTAAAAAACATCGCTGGACATTGAATCTAGATCTAGAATAGATCTAGTTTTCCACATTTGACGGCTTCGGCTCGGTCATTAATTGGACACTCTCTTTTCATAAAATAAAAATTATTGTGAATATAAAATAATAGTAATACATTTGTCTACAAAGTAAATATTATCTGACAGCTTTTAGGCCTTAATTTTATTCTTAAAACACTGAGTTGCTTAACAAAAATTGTTCGGTGTAATAAAGTGACTAATCACCTGAATAAGCAAACTTCCGGTGTCAGTGAGTGCTGTGCACCGAAATGGACGAAATCGACACTGTTTGTTAAAGAGAACAAGTGCATTTAAATTGTTTAAAACATAGGGTTGAATAATAATACAATTCCACCGTACACGGTAAGTACATCTAAGTTGATGGAAAAATTATTAAAGCCCTCAGTTTATTTAACCGCATTAAAAACAAATGACCAGTGTAGATTCTAGCTAGATCCGTACGTGCAGGGTCCGGTCTGTTGTCACTTCACAGTTGTGAGTTGTGTGTAGAAAAGGGCCCAATTTTTTAATTTTTTTTAGGCCTACTAATTTATATTTTATAATTAATATACGGTACGTAGATCTACGCCAAGCCGATTTTAAGATCAGTCTCGAAATAGCTTTTATTTTAATGTCTAATGATTATGATAGTGTGGATTCCAATTTATTTCAACTTAAAATTTAAGGATTAGGCCTAGGCCTTGGAAAAAAAAAGTTAAGCACTTTGACTTAGGACTTGTAATTTTCGTTTATGAAGTCTGAAAATGTTTCACTAAATTATGAATCAATTTAACCTATTCCATTGCAAAGAAGAGCCTAGAGTAACATTACCAGCCCCGAACACCCTTAGCGGCACTTAGCCGAAACGGAGACTCCTTTCCGGTTGATACACCTAATTTCGTTACTATTTGACATAGAATGAAAAACAAAGCATAGAAATACTCTCCAGCCAAAGAAGAATAAAAATATGTATTCCCTTTTTTCCATTTGCAATATAACTTTTAAATATATGCCCCCGAAACGGATGACCCTGTCGTCCTGGTCGCAAACACAATTTTCCCGGTTTTTGCCTCCACGTGATCGGTCTTTCCTCCATCCGATTATGACATATTTTTGCTGGTTTTTTAGCTCATTTACATAATCTTGTACTATTAATTTTTTATGTGTGTGGTTTTGTGTTTTACAGTGTGTAATTGTTTTTAAATGCCAAAAATAATATAATTTATAATAATGGAAAAAATAGGGGAGATAACTCTTCCCAATAAAATGCTAGAATAATTACTGTGTTATGATTTACCATAGGCGATCGGGTCCAGGCAAAACACTACCCCCAAAAAATAGGAATTTTTATAAACAAGGCATTTATAAATGACCTCCTTAGCAGGCAATAATCTCAAAACTAAGAAAGTTGTACTCATTTTGTAACTAAATTCCAATGATAGAGTAGGCTCTACATAAATTAAAACTCAATTTTTTTTCAAGCATGTAACAAAAGTTCAAGTGATAAAGTCTGAATATGTTGTCTTAAAAGTCGTACTTCACAAATTAGAGTGAGGAAAAGAAAACCAAAAAAATGTTTAAATGTTATCGCACCAACTTTAAAAATTAAAAAAAATATATGTTATTTAAATTTATAAATAAATAGTTAAGACACATTTTTTAGTTTAAAACTGTCATGGCATTTGCAAATTAAGAGAAAAGAAATATTGAGTGGATAAGCTTGCCCGTATAAATTGAGTGCTCTTAAGTTGATATAAATAGAAGGGTATGGTTGAGGGCCTATGTTCCACAAGGAGCAAAGAGGTCTAATATTATTATAGTAAATAGTTTGAACAGTTCGAAACAGATAATTGGGAATCATGTTGATATCATGATTGTCAGTAATTTTTCACCCTTCGCATAACTGACAAAAATTCAGGTCACATAACCTTTTGCCAATTACCTGCTAATACTAGATTAAAAATATGAAATAGTTGGCATGTTTGTGTATGATATTTTACAGAAAGTGTATACAAGCTTAGTCTTTAAAATTGTGAAGTAATATAATTATAAATAATGTACTTCCTTTAGCTTTTCATTAGCTTTAGCATAATTTTCATAAGTGGGCACAATTTATTTTTTGTTTTTCTAATTTTCTATACATTGTTTATTGAAACCAGAATAATTTATTTCTCCATACTTTTTGTTGTTAGGTTGTACACAGGTCATTAAGGGCCACCTGTATGCAGAACAGACGTACCACATGCAAAGTGAGTTACAACAAGACCCCCACAAGTATGCCACTGTGGGGGTTGCTGCAAGAGTAGGGGATCTCATGGGCTTGCAAGAAATGGTCTGGCATGGTAAGTGATTTGCAGTGTTTCACAACAAAAATATTTTTTGTTGAATGAATTTTCTTTTGCTTTGTTACTATAATAAGGTTAGGTTAATATGTATTATGAGCATTAAAAACCTGTTGAATGACAGGAATTTTAAAGAAAAGCACACTCGTTTAAATATAGAACGTTTTCCTTTCCCCATAACTCTTCTTGGGTAGTAAATTTTTAATAGATAAAATATAAAAGATCTTGTAATTAAAAAAAATTTTAAATGTTAAAAAATATTTTTATAAAAAATGATTCTCGATATTTACTGTCATTTTCAACTCTAGGAAGACCTATTGATGTCTTTGACAACAGAGGATGGAGCCCTCTCCATGAGGCAGCCTACCATGGAAACACTGGTTGTTTGGAATTTCTTTTGAGACAGCGTATGTATTATAATTTTAAAACTATTTATCAGACTTTTAAAAAAAATTCTCATTTAAAAAAAACAACTCATTTCTTAAGCCCTCATAATTTGAAAATTTGTAATTCCTTCAGCTGGTGTTGATCCAGATTGGACCACACACGCTAAAGAGACACCCCTGATACTAGCAGCAAGACAGGGTCAACATGATGCTTTGATTTCACTCATCAATGCCAGGGCTGATGTTGATTTTGCTACTAATGAGGGATACACACCTTTGTGGGAGGGTGAGCTTTTCTTGTTTTAAGTTGAAGAAGAAAGTAGGTTTGAGTTAATTTCAGAATTTTATTGACAGCTTTATTTTATAAGAATGTGAAATAATAATTCTTATTTGATACTAATATTATTTTCTGTTCTTTCTAATCTTCAGCTTTAAATTCTGGGAATTTCCAATGTTTTCGATCTCTCATTAAGAAAGATGCAGATGTGAATGCTAGAATTTATACTGGATACTCCGCTTTACACCTAGCAGCTGAAAAAGGATACACTAATTTTGTAAATCTTTTATTACAGGTATACATATGTAATTCTTTTTAATTTTTTAATTTTATCAGTTTAAATGATCATGCTGTTATTTCATCATAAAATGTGTTTTTATGTGCTTTAGCGTGGAAAAGAACTTAGTGATATGTTTCTCTAATTTTAGCACGATGCCGAGCTGGATGTTTATGCTGATCATAACCTGTCACCACTTTTCTTAGCTGCACACAAGGGACACACAGACTGTGTGAAAATTTTAATCAAAGTTGCCAAAGACAGAGGTACTGAGAACATTATTTTTCTAATGGATTAATGTTTAATATAATTATCAACATTAAATGACAACCCTGGATATTTACTAAACATTGATAGGAAACATTTGAGTGTTTGTTTTTCTATATATTTAAACTATTCTCTGGCCTGTCTCAGTACTTGTGCCTAATTTATGAATTTCTTAGTCTTACAGCTGTACAGGAATAAAAACCTTAATAGGATACTATTGCGTCTTGCAAGTATTTTATAAGACAACATTGAATACATGAAGTTTATTTTACTTGGGACTTTTTTCCTTTTTTTGCAGGTGTTATGCATATTGTCAATGCTGCAGCCTCAGATAACGCCACACCTTTGCTGATAGCAGCACAGGAGGGCCACGCAGCTATTGTTGCTATTCTCTTGCACTATGGTGCCGATGCTAACATAGCAGCAGATGGGGACCATGCTGTAGCTCTGCAGTATGCTGTATGCAATGGCCACCAAAGGTAATAGCGTTGTCGTGCTCTTTGTTCTTAGTCATATACATTATACTCTAGTTTTATTTACAAATTTAGCAGCATTTGAAACGCACTTCCAATACCCTTGTTAGCTTACTATCTGTTGTTCATAAAAATTAGTTGTGACCATAGAATGATGGATTGTCTATGAACATTTTAAAGAATTTTATAATATCAGACAATACTTTTCGACTTTTCAAAATAATTTAAGCTTTTAAATGTAAACGTTTTTTAACCACTTTAAAAAAGAAAAAAAAAAGCTTTTTAGAAAAACCATTGGTCAATAAACACATTTGACTTGTAACATTTTTAAACAAAACTTTTTGTGTGCTTTTATTGTAATTATCTCTTTAGAGTAAATTATTTTACATTGTTAATATACATCCTTTTGTGTCTTTGCCATGTCTAATGATTTGAAACTTGTTTTCTCTTAGATGTGTTGAGCTGCTTTTACCATACACTGACATGGCAGCCTTTGACCGAGGGAACTTTGACAACATGCATCCCCTGGTGCAGGCACTGAAACACCAAGACACCGCAATCCTTCGCCTGCTGCACGAGCACCTCACCATCACCCGCATCACCAACATCCCCGCTTACCTTAGCCTAGAACTTGGACATCTAGTGGGTGCACTCATACCCGCTAGAACATGTTCCCTCTTGTGTCTCATTGATTCTGACTGGCCTGTGTGTGGAGCTGAGTATCTGCTGAAGCATGGGGTATCCCCTAATGCATTAGACACTGAGGACGAGCTGGCTCCGTTGTTGGTGGCCCTATGGACCAATAATGTTCCACTGTTTCAACTGTTGCTGCGCCATGGGAGTTCACCCAACATCTACCATAAAAATGTCACTGGAAATGTTGCTATGCTGCTTGCGTTCCAGAAGGATCTGGAGAGAGACCTTACAGCGATGATTGTGCGCAATTCCAGACAGCCAAATTTCCAGATCTTCTACATTTGGCAGCTATTTTTAGCAGGGGCGGAGTCTCATTCGTTATTTGACATAAGTGATCCCTTGAACGGGGACAACCCTAGCAGCCCAGCCATCACAAACTTGTTTGGTCTCATGTTTTATATGTTCCACCGTAAGGAGAATCTTGTTCCCGTACTGGCCTTACTCATGTGTATTAGCGATCATGCTAGCCTTCCTCGCCATATCTTCTCACAGTTTGAACCTAGTCAGCGAAAGGTCCTGCAAAACATTTCTGGTGAGTACCAAAATATGGATGCTTGTATTAAAATTAAAAAAAAACCTTTTTCTATTTCATTCTTTACATAATCTAACCCAATTTGTTTCTTTAATGTTATCTGAAGGCTCACTTCATGGCATTTATTGCTGGCTAGAGATCTGCTGAAGACACTATCAATTATATTGTAGTGTAATTTTCCTCTTTTAGTTTTGTTATATAAATATCAGTATGTATATTATATGTATATATTTTGGGCGATTCCCCTCATAAGGGTCTATGAAGTTCCTGTTGTCTGTGTTTAATAATCATTTTCCATGTTTGTTTCAGCCTATTCCCTCTTATATTTTGTCGTAAGGGGGCGGTGGAAGTTCCAATTTAATGCCTGTCAAAATGATTTCACACAACCATTTTAGTTATCCGTGTCAGCTTCTTCTTGCACTCTTCTTTATATAATGGTAGGACTCAGAACACCTGAGGATTTCCTTATCCTGTTTGTCCTGGCAGTGTTTTTTTTTCTGTTAATTTTCTTGTCTATTTTAATCCATGTTGCTGGTGTCATGCAATCTTTGTGTTCCCTGTTTTTCTTTCCTAGGTCCTCAGTACGTTCTGATTTTCAAATTAGTTTAGAGCTCTAGTTCTAGCCAAGGGCTCTACAGTTGAAAACTTGTTTCTCTTTGCTCTATAGGTACTGATGTGGTCTATAAGAACTAATGTGGTCTGTCTGATGTTTTATTGAATGATTTCAGTTTGAACATGAATGCCACCACCAGTAGCTGGTGATCTAAAACTATGGCCACTCCTACATCTAAGAGAATTCTTCTCCACTTTCTAATAGTGATGTGATGATCTGGCTTTCATTTTTTTAAATTCAGGGATGTCCAGTTTAGTAGATAGCTTTGTGTGTGAATATATGTTCCACCAAGAAGATCATTCAAAGCACAGCAATCTGTAAAGAGCTCCATGTTGTATGTGCCCAGCTCCCTGTCTGTTTTCATCTCCCACTTGTGCATTCAGGTCTTACCTGATGATCTTTATATCACTTCTGTGTGTGCTGTTGAATAATATTTGTCATTTTCTTCATCTAGTTGTTTAAGGGTTAGGGTTGCTAACCTAATGCCCAACCCTCCTTTATCCTAGCATGATACTGGTGAGATGCCTCCTTGATTTAGGGAAGGTTATCATTATATGTGGCACTTAATAATGATCAATTAAAATTTAGTTTTACTTCAATAAAAAACGTAGCACAGTAGAAACGGCTGACTTGTAGAAATGTTTTTGTTACTTGAGACTATTATTAATTACATTTGCATTTATTGTATGTGTACATGTATTGTAGCCACTGATGAAATTGGGATGATTATTTCACTGATGAATTGTTTCCTTTATTAGAAAAAACCAACTTGCTGGCACATAGATGCCGGAGGGTGGTTGTCCACAAGCTGGGTAAAGAGAACAGGTACTGTCGTTCTGCAATGGAGAAGCTGAGAATCCCATCTGTGCTGCATGACTATCTGATGTTCTCTGAGCTGGAGCCCCCCCTGCAGGACATGATACTCAAGTTTATCACAGTAACCCCTGACGACGATGGGGAACAGCAAGCACACTGAGATCAAAGCTTCTTTTTTTTTATTGTTGATAAATTATGGAAATTCAGTTCATTGATGTTACAGTAATTTATATTTGATATTATACTTAATTTTATATAGCAGACTACAGTTTATAGGTTTGAATGAATGAAGTTCAGGTCACAGATACATCAGATCCCCTAAAATCCCAAATGTATTTAATAAATTATGATCTTCTGTAAAAATAATTACAGCAACTATGTTAATTTTCCCATTGCTTTGAAAATGAAGACTTGATTCTATTCAGATTAGTTTAACATGCTGACACAAACAAAATGGATCTTTCTATTGCTCCCCCTTTCAACCACTCACTTCTTACATTCTATTATACATCTAGTATTGTTAATAAACATGTATTATGTTGTGTTTTTTTTAAATAGGTGTATAGATCTATGTCTATTCTTTTCTCATAATTTGCTTTATTTCACTCATTGTGCATATATTATATTTTCCAATCACGGCTTTAATTTCTTCTACTATAGGAACATTGTAGATGGATTTCTGTTTTCTTTCTAAAAATGCCTTTAAAGTTTTAATGCTAGCCTCTTGTCAAGCTACCTGAGTATAGCATTTTGTATCACAGTTGTCTAGTGATATTTTTTTTCTAACAGTAGTGATGACCCTTGAAATAATATTGTTTTGTTCCCTTTGGTAACAGAGTGGCTGTTGACACAGTCACTTTTAACTTTCTTCTCTAATGTTTCTCTACCAGAAGCTCGTGCTCTCTAGCTTTTGTCATAAGGTGCATTTCATAATTCGCGCACCTTCTGGCATTCCATGAACCAGTTTGGTTTTGTTGTTTGGTGATTTTTTTTGTGTGTAACCACTAATTTCTTGCCAATAGTTTCCTTGTGGCTTTCATTACTGTCATTCACATAGAGCATCTTGCTCTAGTGGTCTTTTAGGTTTTGTTGCTGTTACTGATGCATGCAGTAGTTGGGGTTCTGTGCTTGACCTCTGAACCCCAACCTTTAAATATCCAGCTATGTTTGGACAAAATTTAACAGTGGTGTTTGAATAGCCCTAGATGTATTCAGGTTCTGATATTTGGTGTATTTGGATGGAATCTAAAGCTGGATCAACGTAATTTGGAAAACACTAAATTTTTGCTAAAAAAAAAACTTTTAAATAGATGCTACATTGTCTCCTCTACCATAATACTTCAGCCTAGTTTTAAGATAATTAGTTGCAGAACTTTACTATATAAAAAGATAAAACTAGTGGCTGTTGTATGTAACGTTGATTGAAACATTTTAACAATAGGATTTAATATTCCATTCATTGTGGTTATTTTTTCATTTATTTATTCACAAAACAGTCATTTTTAGCCATAAGATAATATATACATGTATATATTTTGGTTTCATAAAATTGAAGTTTGCTATATTTGGACAGCTGTAAATGGACATAACTCTGAATCCTACTGAGACAAAATTTAGTACAAGAGCGAGACCTATGTTCTTTGTACATACACGTACTGACCATCTGTACATGCTATGCATGTGAAAACATGGCCAGATTTTTTTTATACAACTGTCATAGAAAACAAGCTGAATGTAAAGTTTACTTGTGAGCATCATGTTTTGTGATAATATATGGTGTGATTGTAGAACTCATGCGGTGTTGTTTTTTTTATAATAATCTGGACAAAAATATTCTCTAAACTGTTCCCATTTGGGGAATTGTAAAATACTGCATTTAATTACAGAAACACCATGTGGCCATGTCATCAGTTGCATTTTACTGGTTTTCTCAAAATTGTAGGATAATTTTTTTTTTTAAATTATTGGAAAAAGTAGTTTTTAGCTGTAAGATTTAAAAAATTAAGTAAGTTACAATAAGAAAAACAATGTATTTATTTAGTTGAAAGTGAGAAGTAATTTAAGTTCCAATTAGTGGTTTTGGGTAACTGATAGTGTTTTAATGCGGTTCTGATAATTTCAGAATATTTAAAGCAATCAACTGGCATCAGTTCATTACAAATATTATTTTGTTGTACTTTGTTTTTTTACTATAAGATTCCTTTGGTTAGCAATTTGCAATAGACTATGTACAAAACTGGTGTGATTTGTAGAGTCAGTAGTAAACATCCAGCCAGCAATATATCTATGTAGATAGTTTGTTTACTGTATACTGCAAACTACTGTTTTAACCTTTGTTATTTATAAAAAGGAATAGTTTTATTTCCTCTTTGGAAGAAAGGGATTTGATTTTTGTTGTCACAGCCATGATATTTATAATTGAATGAATGAATCAACTTTCCTGCTAGTAACTTCTCTGTAAGGAGGTTAAATTGAATTGTATTTATTATCCATGTTGCTGAAATATTGCAATATGTTTTTTTTTGTTCATATTATTCATAGATGCACCAAAATCAAAAACATGTTTGATACTATGGACTATAAATAGTTATACTGCTCTATTTTAGAATTGAAAGAAATATCCACTTGATTAAAACGTAAAGAAGATACATCTGTTAAGTATTTATACATCAGCTTACTTAAAGCTAATTAGCTGAGCAACCATGCAATTAGCAATTTAAAAAAAAAATCAATTTGCTCCTTTTTTTAAAGTTATGATACTTTAAGGGGATTAATTTCTTAAAATTTTGTTGTTTGATTACTCTCCACACTAAAGCATTATAAACTTTTCTGTTATTTTATTATTTTAAGAAACACTGCTAATATTAAGCTTTATTTTCTAATGCCATATTTTAAGGTATCAGAGCAAGCACTTACTTGTCATATTTTTTTCTCTAATTTTACCTGATAGGTAAAGTTTCAGGGTAAAAGAAATTTTTTATGTATGTTTAAATATGATTTGATTTGTTCTCAGTATTGACAGCAAAATTTAGCTTTTTAAATTATATTTATGAAATGGATTTGCTGTTTTGAATTCAGTTACTATATTAATTTCTTACTGAGAATGTTTGCCAACATCTCTATAAATTAACAGTTCTCTGTTGTGTTTAATTTGGTGCACTTTCACCTTTCTTCTGCTACATTGATGTTAATTTTTAAATAGTAATACTAAATAGGAATCGTTAGATTTAAAAAAAAATTGTTTCTTTTTAAAATGTCTTATAACCTCAAATTTAAAAAAAAAAAAGAAGGAATATATTTTTTGATTGTTTTATCTTTAATATGGCAAAAGAAAAATTGAGACATTCCACTAATGACAGATTGAAGGAGTAAGGGTTAATAAGTACAAATGTTCTTGAGGTATTTTCAAATCTTTTATTCTGGTTTATGGATTGAGTATGTGATTCTCTCAGAAGGATCGCTCTATTTTCCTTAAGGGACTAATCATATATTTGAGTGGTTTGGTGTAGATTCCTGTGAGTGGAAATAAAGCAGAACAACTAGCAGCAACTCTTATAAAAATTACTACTTAGTCTAACATTAATTCTCAAGTATAATTATATTTTTTTTAATATATTAATACTTTTAATTTTTTTTTTACCATTTCTGTGTGTATATAGTAATACAAAATTGAGGTTAAAGGTATTAGTTTTTATGCAATTAAAATGTAATTAATCAGATGTGAAAAAGGTGGCAAAATTTTTTTTGCATACACTTTGATGTTTTGTTTCTTAATTATGTTAAAATTATTTTCTTAAAGTGTAATTCATGCAAGTATGTTATGAAATCATCTTTAAAGTGATGTGTTCTCCTTCAGTAATTAAACATGCTACAAAAAATCTGAAGAAATACGCCTGGTTACAGATTTGTAAAATACCCTATTTTTTTTCTGTGTACAGTTTTTCTGTATGAACTTCAATGCTGGCTATTAAATAATAATATTATTAATTTGTTCTTTTGAAAAATCAAATGGGTTACTTTAATACAAATTTCAAGGCATTTAAAAAAATCTTGTGTTAAAATTTTTTTGTAATCCAATCCAGGAATATGCATATGTGAAACTTAGATATTGAGTACTAAAGAATAGCAGAGTTAAAAAACTTTCACAAAGACAAGAGGCTGTTGTATCACATCCCTAACATAAATTATCAAGATAACCTTAGAAATCAAATGTCAAATAAAAATAGTATTAGTATTGCATCCATGTGAAAGGAGTTTTTTTAAACAGATAATTTTAGTATAGTATCTTTAAAAATGATAAACATATAATTTTCAGACAGTTTAATTTTAATTTGTGTGGTCAAATGCTATGTCACTTTGATGTATCATATTATGATAATGATTCATTTTTTTTTTCATTTGTTGTCAGAAATAAAAAAAAATTGATGACTATCTAAGTTGATTTGAGTTATTTTAGATGCTTTCATTAGCAAGGTTAATTTTATTGCTATTTTCCATTTAATACATTTTTTTTTATCATTCACACTGCATTGTTTATCTCTTTTTTTTATAGTTATAGTAACCTGAATCCATGATAGATAATTATATTTACTGCTCTTGCAGTCAAGTTGCTTTTTAAAAAGGATCTACTCATATTAAACATTGATTAATAGATCTGATAACACAAAATACCTAAACTAAATTTATTCATAATGTAACAAACATACCTATCAACAATTTCTATATTTAAAATATAAATGTACCAAATGTTACAAAACAACTAGTGTATAATATACAAAATGATTTAAAACAACTTTTAAAAATATATACATAAGATTTAATGCTTTATTTCAAAGATTTACACTTCATATAAGACAAAATATAAGATGCTAAAACATAATTCTGGTGAAAGATTAATGTAAAATGAATAAGTTACTGTAAAAATAATACAATTAAATAATGAATATGTAAGGAAATGAGAACCAAAAAGTAAAATATCTGTTGTGCACCCTTTCTAAATCAGTAAATATATATTTTTGTCACTTGACAATCAATATAGCTGGTAACAGGTTTTTCTCATGTAGCTAATGCTGTATTATTAATACTATTATTAAGAGTTTACAAAAATAAATTTCATCTTAGGTTTTTGAAAAAACCCTTGAATACAGAATAATAAAATTATAACTTTTACAAGCTTTCAGTCATCTTTTCAGATTTAGAAATGAATTTTTCTTTTTTGTGTTTTTAACCTTTGTATAAATTTGAAAAAAGCAAATTTAATCAATTTCAATGTCAGTAATTGAAAAAAAAATAATTGTATAAGTATTGGGGTGGGGGAATTATTAAGTTTTAAATGAAATAGCTCAATTTGCACATTCGTAATATGATCTTTGATAAACAAATTATTTTTACAGAGTGTTTGCACTAGCCATGTACTGTATTATAAACTGCCAGTTATTTTAATACTGAAATTGGTCAAGTTCTGTTTAATGCTAACTCATTAAAGAACTCTGGCTGTACATTTTTAAGGAATAAAAAAATTTGGCACATCTGGATAACAGCAGAAGTTTAATGGTAGAATAGAGAATTTATTTAGAAAATTGTAAAATTGGTTGGTTGATAAGTTTTAGACTTACCAGTTGAGTTGAATACATCAATTTTTATTTGTAGCCATAAATAATACCAACAAAACAGATAGTTGAGATAGACTCTTACTACTTGGTATATATTGCAAAGTAAAAGCAAAAAAATTTAACAAATTGTGCATTTATATACATAGGCCTAATTATACACACAATTAGAAACATAGATGTAGATTATATGGCATATCTTCACTAAAAATAATTTTATAATTAATGCTAAAATGCAATTTATACTGATTGGAAAGAAAATATCACAGCTTTAAAATTCAATTCACAGTGAAGCAAGAAAGACTTAACTATTGGCTTAACAACATGTCAAATACAAAAGTAATACTGCGGTAAAAACTACAATTTATGAATACTGATAATATGTTTAATATAAAAATGTTATACTAAAATCTATAAAAATACTATATTTATGGAATTATTTTTATACGGGATTTCAATACATAATATACAATAACACCATTATGATTTAAAAAAAAAAACAACAAATGGTGAGTTAATTAACAAAATCAGTTTTTGGGAATTTTATACTTACAAACTAAACTTGGTTATAACTGGGTTCTATTTCAATCATTAGCATTGTAAATTTACATAAACACAATTGTTTTCGATTCGATTTATCCACACATTATTAAATGTCATTGTTCAACTAGCTTGTAACTCTTCTGGAACAACCTTGGCAGGCAGGACAGCACTTGATATGGATGGTGGGGACACCTCACTGGGAGATTGCCACCTCAAAATGTTGCTTCCCCTCCTCTTGAAAGCATAGGTAGGTTTATTTTTTGGTTTATAATCAGCACTCCTGATCACTAGAGGGTGGCCAGACTCTGAAGGGTTGAGTCCTGTTTTATCCTGGGCTTGTCTCTCTTCCTCTTCTAGCCTGGAGTAGTATTCAATAAACTTGCGCTGGCTGATAGGGTCCATTCTGCTCCAGACAAATGCTCCATGGCGCTAAAATATTTAAGAAAAAAATATTTCAGATGAATAAAGTGAACATGCATTAATCTGGGGTTGAAAAAAAAGTTGAAAAGAATTACTTTAAAGAATTTAAAAAAAGAAACTGTTAGGCCTTTTAGAGAAATTTATTTTCTTGACTTTTTATAAAAGTTTGTCTATTAAACTATATGGGTAATTGCTTATTTGAATCTCATTCTTTTCATTCTATTAATCTTTATAATATAATCTAACTAGCCCAGTTCCACTGATGTTTTAATACATAAAAAATAAATTAGCACTTTATAAAATATCCATGAACTAGAAATGAATGAGTTACACTTTTAAATATTTTTTTTTTTGGATATTTAAATTGATACTTTTCCAAGGTATTCCTATAACCTATTAGAAACAATTATTTGATGTGGACCACTACCTTGAATTTTAAAGTGACGCTTTAAATCTGGTCAGCAAGCTAACCAAACTACTAATAAATCAACAAAACGAGATAAAACATTTTTTATATACATTTTCAAGAGGAGTTGAAAAATATTAAGAAATATTCAAGAAGATAGTTGTGATATTTTAAAGAGTAATGAAATTTTCTTCAAGTAATTGTTTGAAAAAAAAAAACCCAATAATTTTTAGTTATTGAAATTTTTTAAAAACATTAGGAAAGTTAACTCTGAAAAGAAAAATTGATACTAATTTCAAACTGAAAAATTTAACAAAAGTAAATAAATAAATAAGCCATTTAGAGATAGTCATTTTGAAAGTATATTTTGTATTATTCTTCAGGAAGGTAAATAGTCAATGGTCAATCATCCATTTTTCTCAGCAATTTTTTATGAAAGTTCTATTAAATAATGTACACCGTTTAATCTATAAACTTCTTTTATCTTTACAGCAGCATTGCAAACCCTTGAAAATTAGAAAAAAAGGAAAATTAAAAAAAGATTTTACGTATGTAACAATTAAAAAATGCACTGTATCTGTTATAAAACATGAATTATATGAACCACTAAGTTATTAGGTAAGCTAAATAACATGAAAGTTTCATTTCTTACTTTTCCTCTGTTTGGATAATTTGGGTCCCTCCTGCTGTTATACTGATGCTCATAAGAAATGCTTTCATTGAAAAATCTTTGTGACCCATCTTTTTCTCGTAGAAAGTTTACAGGAACTAGATAATGAAAGAATTCAAACAAATGTAATGCAACTAACCAAAGTGCAAACAACCGACTCAAAATTAACGTGCGCTATTTTTAGCTTTCGAAGACAATGAACACATCAAGGAAAATTGGAGTTTAAATCAGAATAGTTTAAAATACTCTGTAGCACTCGGACATAAATGTTTCTATTATCTATCAATGTTTATTAAATTCCCAGTCAGATCTAAGAAAATTAAAAAGTGGTAAAACAATAATTTACAAGCAACGTACCAGCCCCGACAGCTGAATCTCTGGTCTTGCTGGCTGTGTGTCTTCCTGCTGGAGGAGGGAGGTTACCCTGTCTGTAGTTGTAATGTATCCTGTAGTGGGTATCCTCCGCATATGGGGGTGTCATCAGGGTACCTGGGTTTGCACGTGCTGGCCACCAATTTCCTTCTTCATGTTTCAGATCATGGGTGTAGACCTTTAATAGGATTTTCACAAATAGAACATCATCATGCAATTTTTTTTTAATTTTAAAAGTAAAGTTACCCTTTCAGACAAGAAGATTGATGGTGAAGATGAAATAGATGAAATGCTCCTGTGACTTTAGTATATGAGTCAGATTATCATCAGAGCTGGGTGGATACAAGGGCATCTTAAGTACTCAAGTAAAGGAGTGCTCTACAAACAAAGCCACACCATCCCATAATTTATTACGAGTAGTTTGTCTCAATAAGGGTCATCCATAAATGATGTAATGTAAGGGGTGTACATGTAAATACAATTGTTGAGAAACACTTTATCACATGACAAGAAGAACATAAAATACAAAATAAAATAAAAGAATAACAAAATATACATTTTTTTCCCTTACATTGCAAATTGGCTCACAAAGGAGTCTCACATTCTTATCAAGAAAGCCACATGATGTTGGTTGAGGTTTATGAGCTCGATGATCTAACATAACTCCTGGAAGAGTTCGGGTGTTTCTTAGTTGCTTTTTAGTTTCAACAAAACCGTTTTCAGTATTTGGTGTGTATAGTGGAGATTTGGGTGTTTGAGGTTCAAATGAAGCCGAATATGGTAGAGCTTGAAATTTGGGATGTTCTGTTAATGCATCATCACTTATCACACGAAATGTATCTGGACTTAAAAAAAAAGGAAACAATTAAAATTAGTTTTAAAATCTGTAATAAAATTAAAATTTAGAATCAAAGAAAATCACAACATTCACACTGTTTTCTGTAATCATTACAAATGTGATTTTAGTATGTATGTGATACAAATAAACCCATGATATCAAATGCATGTTGTGAAGAGAAATCTAAATGCCTGAATCACATCCTTTCATCTCATGTAGGCTACATAAGATGACTTTTTCAATGGACTCTTTATTTCAGTCTTTCCCTTCCCTCCTACTCTATTCAATGGAAGTTTGGTAACTCAAAACACAAAATTCAAATAAACTGGGGGTGGGGGATTCTATGTGTGTTTGCATTCAATATATATACAAGTTTATGTGAATATATTAGACCATAATTGTGTGCTACAAACAGTATTCTCTGAAAAAAAAATTACAAGGAAAGTACCTTTAAAGTAACTACAAGACACACCACAGGCTAATGCTAAACCTGCATCTATAACCAACCCCTGTTTTCTACATTTTGATGCTAAACCTAGATCATATTATACAGACAATGTTAATTTTCTATATTAAAATTTCAACCCCTTTGTAAGTTTGTATTAGACTTGAAGCTAGACCGGCACCTATTAATCACACTAAGTCACTTTACCTAGACCTAGAGCTGAATGAGCATAGGAACCTTAGTTTATTAATAACATACATACAGAGACACAGAGTCCATTTCATGATTTTATCTTTATATATAAGATTAATAATTTTCTAATTTGATGTGAGATATTTATTATTCAAAGTTTAAATTGTTGAATAAAACTTAAACAGTACAATAGCCTGCAATAAGTCTATTAAAAACAACAACAAAAAAATACATTAAATACTAAATCTAGGCCTATGGATGTGGTCATCCATAAATGACGTCACGCTTTTTAAAAATGACTTTTACCTCCTCCCTCCCATCCATCATACATTGTCACAAAAAGCCAGACCCCCCCCCCCTAAAATGACATACACCTCAGCCTACAACTCCCCTCAAAATTGCAGTTGAATTTTTCTTAAAAAAAATCTATACTTTTCCAAAATCTTGTCTGAACTCTGTCAACATAGAGTATTTTAATCAATTCCTATTACAATTTATTAAAACCGTTTTCTAAAACATGAAATAAAGCTAAAACACATTTTCTAACATTGCTTTTTTATAATGCATCAGTGTGTCGTCACACCATCTGACCCCCCCCCCTCATTTCACACCGTCAAAAAATTACAGACCCCCTCCCCCCCCCCCCGACGTCATTTATGGATGACCCCTATGTACTAATTTACTAAATAATAATATACTATAATAATACATTAATTTATTTTATTATTTCAATAGTACAATTAATTTTAATAATAGGGCATTTCATTAGGGCAAAATTTTAAATTAAGTAAATTTTAATGCACGCGAGCCAGAAAGTATTCAAGAGGCCCATTAAATAATTTAAAAAGCATGCACTGCGTAGTTACAATTAATAGGGATATAAAATCCTGTCTGTCTTGATTTGTCTTATGAAAGTGAAACATCCGGTTATAACTTAGCCTTACTTAGTACTTAGGCTTGATGAAAATAAATAGAAATGTAAAATGTAGCCTTTAAACTCAACAAATTATTTTCAAGTTCTCTGGATTTGCAACTTTTATAGCATTGATTCTAAAAATGTCTGAATTAATTCTAATTTTTTATTATTTTTACGGTCGCTTTGTTTGCTAAATCTAAAAAAGCACGTTTTTATACCATGTCAACAACATGATTATGATGGAAGGATTTTCTTTTCATCAACTCGTTAACCTCCATTAAAAAAAACTTTAAAAAAACCTTACTTATATTTTTCAGGAACTTTCTTTTTACGCTGTATTGGAGGAATAAACATAGTCATTTTGAAATTATATTCAATGACTATTAAATATAAGAATTAAGATAAGTTGTAGATTTTCAATAGACTAGATCTATAACAATGAGTGAGTACGATGATAACAGTATCTTGCTGCCATACTTAAACGTTGCTATGAGACAGCCGGAAGTACTCCAGCTTTTGGTCCTTAGTGACTTGTAAACATTATGGCGGCGATGATTCGCTTAGCTGGAGAAATTAATACCTTAATTGCTGGAGTTTATGATAAAAAAAAGTAAGAGTACTTTTTTTTGCTCCAGAATTTTGTGAATATCTTCTTTCTTTTTGTGGTTCTTTAATGATATAGCTTAACTTAACTGACGCAAAACTGAAAACAAAACAAAAATATTCATTAAAGTAAAAACTACTACTACTACTAGTTATTACTAGTACTACTAGATCTAGAATCTAGTACTGTACACTACCCACATACAATACAATACTAACATCACAATTGAATTTTACATGACAAGACCGTCACGAAGACCATGCTTCAGTCATAGTTAGAATAACATAACAATAATAACAAAAATGAAATAACTTTAATAACCTCTGCCATCAAGCTACCAAAACCACTACTAAAGCATTCTATGGTTTATATATTATACTTTATACTATACCCATGTGATTGCCATGTGACTTATTTATTATGTTAGGTTTATTATTAAAACTAATGAAACCTTGTTCTAAATTGATTGGAATGTAGTTATGTTTGAACAATATTAGCAATAACTTATCATGCTTGCATCTTTGTTCTTAATTTAGTGTAGCAGAGGTAGTCCGCCAGAAAGAGTATGCAGCAGCTGTCAAAATTCAGTCATGGTTCAGGGGCTCAAGAGTGAGATTCTACCTAAAGTAAGATGCTTGTTTTAATTAAATTTTTTGATTATCTGAATACAATTAACAAAAAGTAATTCTTTACATATATATAGATATATTTTTATTATTAAATTTTTTTCCCAGACATTTAAACCATTCTGCCACAATTATCCAAAAAACATGGAGGGGATATTTGGGCAGAAAATTCTGCAGAATTTTAGTAAAGGTTAGTACAGACATGCCATGAAGTTGGTCATTTTTCTTATTGAGGATAACATAGTTTTAAAGGTCGGCGTGGTCTAGTCGGTAAAACTCATGGTTGCTAAACCGAAAAGTCTCGAGTTCGAACCCTCGGGCAGATGAGGCTCGTTAGCTGGGGACAGCCACTCTTCTAGGAGAGACAACTCCAAAAATAAAACAACTGCTGCCTTGTAGTTTGTTCTTGGTTGGACAAAGGCTATGGAAGCAAATCCAAAAAGAAAAGCAGGCTGAATTCGGAGTCAATGGCCTCAATGGCGCATAACCAGTTGACACGTAATCCTTAATTGTGATGGAAGCATGGTCCAGTCGGCAAAGCTCATGGTTGATAAATTTGAAAAAGAAAGTCTCGAGTTCAAACCCTCTGGCAGATAAGGCTCGATCCCTCCCAACACTAAAAATTAAGAACGAAGAAGAAGAAGAAGATAGTTTTAAAAAAAAAATGTGTTAATTTTGGATGATTATGTCCTTTTATTTTCTTCCACAGAATACATTATTTATAATTAAACTAAATTACTACAATGGAATGGCTTGCAAGGTAAAGTTTCAATTTATGTATTGTCAGGCTGTTAAACTCTTTTACTAATTTAAGTAAATATTCCTTTTTTTGTGAATGCCTATTTTAAAAAGAAATATTAAAAAAATAAAAGATCTAGAAATGATTGCACTGTATTAAGTATGAAAAAAAATGTATTGAAATACTTTTTAAAATGCTTTGATTTGATAACCATTTGAATGATGTGCATTTGCTCAGATTCAGAGAACATGGAGAGGCTACTATGCTAGAAAATATGTATTTAATTACTTTTCAAGAAAGAGATATTTGGAAGCTTTACAAGTCAAAAATGAACTCATAAGGTATGATTAAAGAAACCAGATGTTGATACTCGTGTTGAGTTACGCTGCTGACTGCTAGAAAACTAGGGTCATTAGCATTACAGGACTGTAATATTTAAGCAAGTGGACAAATATTTTAAATCTATAAGTGTCAAAAAGACAGGGAAAAAAATGTTGGCATGTTGGTAAAAGCTAGTTTGTTGGTCAGTGTGTTAGGAAAAGTTTAGGGTTGTTATTTGTTATAGAAAGTCAGGAGAGTTATATGAGATCTGGAAATTTATAAAGTTGCTGTTGAGTAGTGTGTCAACAAAGTCATGATATTGCACCTAATTTTCTTCTTTTTAGATATTGTAGTTATAGTCGCCCATTAAGTTCAAATAATATCTTGTATGATTACTTCATATAATTGATCCATTGCCTCACTGTATTGAAAAAATATTGTACCCAAATCCTTTAGCAGTAATCATCTTTTAAAATTTGGTAAACAGGTCAGAATTGGCAGATTTTGCTGAACAGCAGCTGGCAGCAAGAAAACGAGAGGAGGAGAAAAGTGCCAAGCAGCGTAAAGCGTATGAGGCCAGGAAACAACATCATCTTGTCAGCACTTACGTCATACCTGGTGTATATAACTCACCATTTTTACTGTAAGTACTCACCACTTAAACTAAATACCTAGAGTTGTAAGTTATAATTAAATGTCAGTTGATATTTTGAATTCTCATTTAAATATATTAAAAATATCTCTATCTTTGAGTTGCTTTTTAAGACAAACACATTTGATAAGTAATCTGTAATTTTCTTTTATTTTGAAAGGCAATTGACATTAAAATAAATTTTTGACACTGTTTTAGTGTTTACAACCTTTATTGCATTTTGTTGGCTCAGGTATCCCACAGAGATGGAATTCTTGCTGCGTAATGCTCAGCCTCTATCTCATAAAAAGAAGAAAACAAACAAATGTAAATTTGATCCATCATGCTCAAGTTATTCTTCTCTTGTACCCAAAACTCTACCTCCTCTGATCAAGAAACCAAAGGTTAGTTCAAATTATAATTACTTTGGATTTTAAATTACAAAGTTTTACATTAATTCTTTAATAAAATATTAAAATTTATTTTCATTTGATACTTATGAAAAATTAAACCACCGTATTTATTCCTTTGTCTAAGAGAATCATATATTTATACAGTAATGCTTCTACATCTACACATCTATTTCAAATTATCAAAGGTATTTGTCATTGAGAATTATTTGCTTTTCTATAAACTGTTAATACATGTTCTGATTTCTCAAAGGGTCCATTCAGGGAGCCTGAAGAAGTACAGAAACAGAGGTACAAACCTTTCCAGCCCTCATTACGAGTGGCCACTGATTTTTACTCGCTCGAGAAAGCCAGGAAGAAAATGAAAGATGAAGAGTGGGTTACAAGATTAAATGACAATATGTGAGTAAACTATTTATTCTATTTTAACAATTGTTCAATCTATGCATATTACAGTTTTATTTAAATAATTGTCAAGTGTATATATACTACATGTTTTTTAATTATACAGTTGTTAAATGTGTGTATACTACATAATTCTATTTTTTTAAAAAGTTTTGTGTAAATGACATTGTTAAATCTGTGCATACTACATTTTTCCGATTAAATAATTGGTAAGTGTATATACACTACATAATATTAGTTAAACAATTGTTAACTGTGAGTATACTACAATATTCTGTTTCGTTTTGAAAAATAATTCTTTTTTTTTTTACAAACAAAGCATACTTATAGGAATTCATAATATTTTTTTTTTCAGTCTTCAACCCTTTACACACCGATTTGTTCCATATGAGCCTCTGCTTCATACGACAACAAAGTTTGGCCATATTGATTACGGAACTAAATTCTTTAGAGAAAGATGTGTAGAGAAATTTTTAAGCCCTCAAGTAAGTTGGACAAAATGCATTTTGCTCTCTTTTGGGTCATCCATAAATGACACCACAATCAGTGTTTCCTCCAGACTTTTTTGTCTGGGGGTGGCACTTGATCTTTTCGGGGGTGCACAGTGGTGGACGGACACTGGTAAAAGTATATGTTTTCTATATAAATTCCATTTTGTTCGGGGGTGGGGGTGGAGAGATGCCTGGAAGAAACTCAGATCACAATCACATTAATTTGGGTAATTTTTTCTTCATAAGATTATTTGTTGTAAAAGTTTAAGCCTAGTAGTGTGATGTCATATACAGATGACCCCTTTGCAAAAATTAATATTAAATCTTTTTTTTTTTCCATATCTGGTAGATTTTCTGTTATTTTATTTTAATTATTATTATTGAGTAGATAGTTTGGATTATAATCATCACTTTTGCTTTTTAAAAAAAAAATTTAAGGTTCATTTTTATACTGTTACTAATTGTGAGGTGTAATTAATGCAATCATTTTTTTGGTTTGTCACACCAATATAAAATTAGCTTTAATTTGAAATTAAGTTATCATTTTGTAAGTAAAAACATTACGCAATTTTAAATACCATGAAGCACCATACCACTACACCTTACTATTAGTATTTATCAGTTTGTAGACTTAAATGAAACTCACATTACATTATAAATATTCATTCTTAATGTTATAAATCTGTCAAGAATTACCTAAAATGTTGTAAAAATTAGAAATTATTGTTTATATTGAACATATTTTTCTCTTCAGGATTTTAAATCTCAAGTACCACCTATACCAGTTTTTGATAAATTCAATGACACATACTCATGTGGACAATATTGAGTCTGGAAAATGAATATTCACAGGAAAATAAAAAAGTACGGAGTGGCAATTGACAATAATTCTTTTGCAGCCTGATATGTTTAAAAAGTGTTGAAACTGTTTAAATCATATTTGTTGAAAGAGTTCACTATAACATCCCAATAGTCTTTGATTTTTTCCAAATTAATCAACACTTTAAGTATTTCAAATGAACGATGAAAAAAGCAAATCTTCTGATTTAATGTTTTACAACAAGACATTTGCATTATTATAAGTTAATTTATTTTTAAAAATCATATTCAACTTCCAGAAGAGCTTTATAATTCCAATGCTTGTTAAAATATCTAACTCTAAGAAAGTATAAATGAACTAAACATATATATATATATACAACATCTCATGAACTTTCAGTGACCAGTTACTTAAATGTCTGCATGTATAACCTGGTTACTACTGTTTTTTTTATTTATGTCACATTTAACTGCGCATAAGAAATTGTTAAGCTTATTGATAACCACATAATTAGTTGAAGATAATGTTTTAAGTTAAAAAAAATGCCCTGTACTTTTCGTTAAAACATTAGCTAATTAAGGTAATAACATTCACACCTGTAAATATAATGGTTATTCCCTTCTTAATGATTATAAAAACCATTGAGGTATAATGAACTACAGTTGTCCTGTAATATTTATAAAATTAAACCTGTTTAAGTATATACATTTACCATTTTTTAATATGAATTTTGATATGATTTGTTTTTTAATAAATTATTTGTTGTACAAAACTTTATGACATCAAGTACATTATAATGTGTATATATATTTATTTGGGGGAAAAAAGAAAACAGATCATGTACTTGGTATTTAGAAAAACCTTTCTATTACACTATGAATAAAGCAATTTAAGATGTTTTTCCATCATTGATCTCCTAGTTCTTCCTATTTCATGTGAATCTTTGTGCAATAATTTTAATTGTTGAAAAACAGGTGAGGTTTCTGTCATCAAATAAATGTTTTTTTAAAAAAATGTTCAGATGGAAATTAAATAAAGTCTATTTTGCATTCCATTGCTTTAATACAGCCAGGATAAAGCTAACATTAAAAACCACTTTAAACATTCCCATATATCTTTTATGAAGTTTTAAATTAGAGATGTGTTCAGGTTGCTTACCACCATTATCACAACACTGTTTTATCTTATTAAAAAAGTGCTCACATGGGCTTTTATATATTAGGATATCACAGGTCTTTATTAAAGCTGAAATCATATATATTAAAAATAAAAACACATCTACTGTCTAAACAGTCAACATCAGAAAACAAAAAAGTATTACAACAAAAAAACTTTAATGAATCCATTTTTTATATTATAACAATCAATACTATGTACAAACAACCACAGTGTGTATGTGCATAATCAAATAATGATATTTAAAAAAATATATACATTTAATTTTATCACAGTTTTTACTGTAGTATTAAGTTTTGTGTCAGAATAATAACTCAAGCTGAACTGTGACAAGTTACACCTTATTCTGTTGAAAAAAATTCAAAATGGTCTACAAAATTTAAAATAATAGGCCTACAATTTTTTGTTATAGTGTGGCATCTACTTTTTAAAAAAAAACTTACTGCAATAGAAAAAAATTGTACTTTCTGAAAAAAAAAAACGAAATCAAAATATAGTTATATGAATTTAGATTAAATTCTTAGCAGGGGTTAGTCCTGAAATCAAATTAGCAGTACAGAATTTTGAGATCATGGTTCCACTTCTGTCTTCTCTTCATTTTCTGTCTCTTTCTTTTCCCATTCCAACCGCAACTCTGATGAAACCTCAGTGAATAATTTATCCCATGTCCATTCTTTGTCATCCTGGAATGATGTGTAAAAACTTAATGTGTGAACATACACACAAAAAAACTTGTCAAACATTGAACAATTGTTGTTAAAAAATATAAGAAATAATTAGACAAACTTTTTATGTAACTGAAAACAACAACCTACTTCTATTATGTCCTCTGATGGCGAAAGAGTTTTTGTTAGTAGCTTGAGATCTATTTCATTATCCTACATGAGATAAAACAAAGGTAAATTTTCAAAGTTAGAAAAATAGCTTTTAAATGTGCTTAGGTTCTTAGGAGTAGCATGAGTAGGAAATAATGGGCTTAAAAATTACACCAAATGTTAAAAATAATGTGTACTAAAGGAGATATGAGCGCATGAACAGAACATGCTAGGCGAAAAGGACCTGTGTAAACTTAGCAATGGAATAGAACAAACTAGGCTAAAAAAAAACCTATGTAAACATACCAATGTTAAAAATGCTGCCTGCTTGAGAAGATCTGTGTCCAGTTCCCTGTATGTCGCGACTCTGTTGACAGCAACACTGTGGGTGGAGCAGCCAGGAAAATGTTAACAGCATGAACCAAAAATATTGTTTAAAATAAATATTGTAAAAATAATTAAGTAGCTGCAGTTGTCGCTTAAAATTTAATTCAGGACCTAAAGACTAACACTGACTAACAGAGATGAAAATAGTACTTCAAATTCCACTTGTGAACTTGCATACTTTTTATGGCACAGATACGTACTTTGGAGCTAAAGCAACTTTACTTGTGAAGTCTTCTTCAACATTCTCTTCTAATTCTGGGATGATGGGTATATCTAAAACACACAGTAGATAGATTTAGAAAAAATAACCTTTGAATTTGACTTTTAAGAGATGATAACCTAGAGAACATTTCAGATAAGGGACATAATTAGAAAATAGAAAACATTTCAGATAAGGGACATGACCAGAAAATAATTAACTCCCCTACACTGTTATATAACAATGACATTTAGGATACATAAAAAAAGAAAAATTAAAGTATGTAAAACATTGTTATGTTTTTCAAAGCAGGCAAAATGTCCTCACCACTTTCAGAATCATCATCTTTATCTGAGTTCTTTTTATTGAATCTATCACTGGAAAACAGGTAAAAATAAATAAAAATAATATGATGTTTCTAAAAACATAGGCCTAAATCAACATATAGATCTAGAAAGATTTTTCTTTTTCTAAATGAATAATATATGTATGTAGAACAAACAGGCATACTAGGCTACCATACAATTGGGGCGTAGTTTAATTACTTGACCAAATTAAACATTTTTTATTATTATTCATAGAAAGCAAAAGATAAAATAAACTGATAAAGAGCTATTTAATAAAAAAAATAAAATAAAAAGCTCCATCATTTCCCCATAGGCCTGATGTTGACCAATATTATACATGTGGTATCAGGCGGCTGATATGACAGCTCTCAAATGGTCATGTTGACACTTTATCAGGTGCATTTAATTAATGGTGTTTTGACAAGCCCTGACATGCACCAGGGGATTAAATAGCATCATGTATTTTACTTCTGCTGAAAGTTTAGGCTGAACTAACTGGCTTACATTACATAGGCTAATTTTTTTTTCAGTCTAGGTCATTATAAAATTAACACACTACCAAATTAAAGATGAAAGCTCCATCAACAATTTATAGTTGGAATTGAAAGAAGTAATTTATAGTAATGTTACTTTGTAAAATATAGTTTTTTTTAAAAAAAAGCAAGGCTATAGAGACCAACATGATCATTGCTGTTGAATTAATCTTACTTTAAATAGTTAGACAGCTTATTAGTTTTTTAATTTATTTAAAATTATAAAAATATAAGCAGGCAAGCTATGATGTAATTTTTATATTAGTAACGGGAAATATTATTTGTAATACACCAATTATGTTCATATATAAATAAACAAGCAAACATGTCCATAAGTGCCTTCACCACTGAAACAATAAATGTGTTTATATCTGTTTGACACTGGAAAGTCATAACAACTTGCTATCTATCAGACCTAATTTTAATTAGATTAATATAAGATTTTTAGTAAGATTAATGATCTTCTAATGAAAATTACATTTCTTTCTTTTAATATTCTTTAATACTAACAAACCGACAAAATGGATTTATATCCACAAAATAAGCTATACTCTTTACCTACAATGTGTTATAATTTTTCATTAACCTATAGTTTTTTTTTACTATAGACATTGCAGAAGCAGGAATTGTTTTGTAGGTTAATACACGTTTGTAAGAAATATAGATAACAGATTAAAAAATTAAATGACTAAAATTCTGATAATATATTTGAAAAGCTTTACATACTATAAACAATCAATCAAGGGTATTATATAGCCTAACAAACAGACAAAACAATACAGTTTGGAATTTAGATTGTCCACGGTAAAACAATGTAAAAGTATTAGTTCAAAAGTAAAAGTGTAGCAAAATACATTTAAAATTTATTTTCCAACAATAATTTTAGTAATTTAACTGAAAGTTCAGGTCTAAAACACTGCAGAGGTTGGAAAACTACTTTTGTGTTTTTATCTTTTTTATCTTTTGTTTCATTAAAGGAATAGGACCAAAATTTAAAATTATTGTTTTTAAAGATAAAACAGTATGGTAAATATTTTAAAAAATCTAGAGTGCAATACTCTTGTAACTGCTTACACTTAAGAAAATGTTATCATTGAGATTATAGGTAAGTGATAAAGTGAAAGATAACATGCAGCTCTAAGTAGCAACACACTATGACAAGTTGGACTTAAAAAGTTAAAATATATCTATAATTGTTGATGTCATATTTATTAGAATTCAATAAAGGGTTGGAATATAACCATCATTCATAAAAGATAACTTGAAGCTTGATAAGTCAGCAATATAATAATTAATATCATATAAAGAAATAGTTTTAAAAATTAATATTCAAGAAAATAGTATAAATAAATGAATTATTTCAGAAGTATTTAAGAAGATAATATAAAAAAAATAGTTAAAACTAATAAATAAAATATAAATGTTGAAAAGAAATAAAAACAAAATATTCTCAAAGTGAAACTGATGTGAAATTTGGTTCACCCCAGACTTACTCTTCCACTGTTTCAAATCCTTCCCCTAACTGCCTGGCTCTGAAAACATGGACTCACCAAAGTTTATTTACAAGAACATAAATCAAAACAATAATAATAAAACAAGCTCATCACCTTTGTCTACAGATAAATGTAAACAAGGGAACTTCAATATGAAGTATTTTATTATACACTATCTATTGTCACTGACAAAATGTATAAAGAAAGATAGTAATGAATATAAGAAATGATATGGGCATTGGTTATGGGCTGAATACAAATTCTGTGTCATTTCAACTCTCCCCTTGTAACCAATAAAATAACTTTAAAAAATTATCTTAGCAATTTTCAAACATGTATTTAAATTTAAAGTTGTATTAGATGTAAGTTTATTAAACTTTTGAAGCACATTTAAAAATAAAAAAAAAAAGAGAAATAGCAGGAACATATCAAATCATAGACACTAAATGTAAAAGCACATTTAAGCAGACAAATAAACTAACTTTGTGAACGCAGTCTTATTTTTTTTTAGAACATAATATAAAAAAATACAGATTAACCACTTTAATGAGATTACACTAAAAATGAAATGCAGCATATGAAAACATCAAATTTTTTATTAAAAGCAGAATAAGTCTGTATATAATATAATTTACCTATCATTTTTAAAAAACTGATATTTAACAAATGCTAAAACAGTTTTACAGTAGTAAATAATGTCACGTTTTATCATTATTCAAGAAATAGTTATTTGAACAGCCATTCCAATGCTAACAAATGGCAGTACTATGAAATTCTTACCGTGGTTTTCTTGCAGGTGCATCTTCACCCCAGCCTGACACAGCCTTGTTGGGTCTTCCAGGTGGACCATCCTAGATAATGGTGAGACAAATTACTTGCAAGTAATGCAAGTGTGTTATTGTTGATGGGACAATGAGGTCATATGGTACTGAACTTGATTGTTAACCCTAACATATGGAGCGCACCCAGGTAAATGGAATGTGACTCCAATAATAGAAAGTAAAGATGTATAGGCATAGAAATTTTTTTTTATAGATATTTGAAATTTATACTTTAGCCACCATCTCCTCCCCCCCCCCTGACAAGAATGTCTGAATGAAACACTGTCTCTTTATGCGCCAATGTCACAGAAACAGGTGTACTCTACTTCATCTAATCGGGTGAAAATGAAAAGTAACTCAGATAGTTTAAATAGGCAAAAAATTAAGGCTAAAAAAAAACAATAAAACTTTAGATTCATTCTGGACTACACTGGGAAAGGTCAAGAAAGGGATTACAATGCATGAGCAACCCATGATCTCTTTATCTAATATCCTGGTAATCAGTTGGAGTTGGAGAAGATTTCACTTTAAGGATTTCACTTTTTTGGTTGCATCCTTTGCAATATATTTTTTAAAGCCTTTTTTACTTACTATAGCAATGTAATTTTTATACAGCAAATGATCACACAGTATAAAAATAAGTAGGCCTATATATAATATCTAATAGGATAAATAGCCTATTTCACAGTGAATGATTGTGTATTGATGTCAAAAGGATGAAATTCCTTATCCATATATACATAGGGTCTATCAAATTGTAGCTATACTATTTTGAATGAATGCCACCAAAAACAAAACTTCGAAAATAAATTAGAAAGAACTAGACTTCTATACCCTTTTCAGAAAAAACAAAACAAAATTACGAGAATACTTATAATATGTGTCCATTATTTGCCATTTAATAACATAAATAAAATGAAATTTTAAAAATAGTATGTAATGTTTGAATAGGCTAGCTACTTACTGAAGGTTTCTTTTTATTGGATGTTTCAGTAGCTAATACCTCTTCATCTAGATTTGGTGCAGGGTTATTTGTAGCCTGTGCAGCTCGTCTTCCAGATTTAGGACCCTGCAATTGTTAATTCGTAAAGGTTAGATTACTTTAGTTAAGTTAGAATTAAATTTAAATAGTGGCCCACTTAATAGATAGTCTTATTATTTTTTATGTGAATTCATATCACTTGTTTTTATAATAATAATAATAATAATAATAATAATAATAAAATATGAATACAATAAAAAAATTTTTAAAATTTACAAATTATAATCCAGATCGGTAATCTATCGTTTTAGGTACGTAAAATCGCCCGCGACTAGTAATGTGAAAAACAGGTGACTCCTTACATTTTAATAATTATTTCGCATTTTGAGGAGGATTTATGTTTTGAAAAATACAAAAATGTTTCCTTGTTTCATTTATGTACCTGTTTTTAAACAATTGAATTAAAACTTTTCAGTAATAAATGAACACCAGCGATGTTTCCAACAGATGCAACCATGCTCATTTACTATAGCAGCCATCTTGTTTAAGTTTTATTTTTATAGACATAGGGCCTATAGCGCAAGATTCAGGCGGAAGTCACTCTATTTTACAAATGGCTGCTGTTTATATAGCAAATCTTGCTTGCAGACACTGCTGTTTAAAGTTAATTTCTGGCCTATATTGATATATTTAGCCATTGATTAAGGTTTATTATTCATTTATCTATAATATTTGACACAAACATATCACAATATACTTCTATTACAGCCTTGACAATGAGGTAACGTTTTCGTACATTAATAGCCGCGGGCGATTTTACGTACCCAAAACGATAGATTACCTCCAGATCTAGAATCAGATGAGATTCTAGATCTAGATGTTTAGTTTATAGGATAGTAGTATGTTGGTTTACTTATTATAATTAATTAGAATCTCGGGAATGTTGATTTTAAGTAGGTAGATCTAGATCTAATTATTAAATCTCAAATATTTACTAAATATTTACTTTTTTCTGCGCTGTACCGAATCCTAATCCGTCAGCCTCCATTTTGACGCTAAGGAATACTATGGAATTCAAAGGGAGCCATCATTGTTTGCAACTAGATCTAGATCTAGATCTAAATCTATGTCTCAGTTATTTCTTTCTTTTATAGTTCAGTAATGTTATGCAAAATAATTTTAAAATTTAGCATATTAAACAAAAACTAAATATATTGAACAAACAAGCACAAGTTTAGCTACATTTATTTAAAAAAGTGACTACATTTATTCGTTAAATATGGTACATCTTTTTTATAAATGTTTTATCTATAAATACCATGCGGCCTCACATAACCTTGTTTCGTTTTCTCAACACCAATGGAGAATCGTGGAGGGCGTTTAATAACGCGGCTCTCGTCGGACGAGTGAGTTCAAATGTTTAGCGTATAGTTTTATGTTTTACCGTTGTGAAAAAACACGTAGTAAAACGCGTTTTTTGTGGTAATAAAACAACACAATCGACGATGGTATTTTAATAAATTAGCATGCTTACAACAGTACAAATAATCAAATATTAAAGTACACAAACACGGATTATTTACTTCAACTTCAACCATTATTATTATAATTATTAGAGTTATGGGCCTTTACATATCATTTAGATACCTTTGATCGAGATTTTAGTAGTATTAGTACCTAGAAATCTAGATATAGATTTAGATCTAGTAGTAGTTATCTAAAGAAAAACTATAGGCCCACATTTTACTATTTTCTATATACTATATAGATATTATCTAAGTTTCACATAGCGTTAAGTATTTTCTTACTTTAATAAAAGTAAATACTAAATCTTGTAAATAGATCCAAGCCTGCTTAGTACTTAGTACTTAAAAACTTAATTTACAATTTGCGTTTCCCTATGAATCTTCTTAGGCTAATTAATAATTATTAATTATCAATACATACTCATACGTAAACTCAGAGCTTTAGAAAAGAAAAATCAAGACACTATGATACATAATAAATAATCACTAGGCTAATTATAATAAAGGACCAATTTTTTTTATCAATATGATAGGCCTAGACTATATGTCTACCTGAGGCTTAACGTGAGACAGCCCCCCCCCCCCTCCCACAACACACCACCCTCCAACGCTGCTGTTCAGTATGTTGTTGTTTTGTTTTACAGAGCAAGTTTCAATTATAAGTTTTTCAAACGTTTCTGGAAGATATGTGGCCTGCTGTTCCCTTCCATACGGAGCCCATCGACATGTCTCACCTTTCTTCTACTGCTCCTGTGTATCCTAGGTAAGACAAACATTATTTGACGTAACGGTTTGTTTAAAAATAAGGTTATGTAGAATGGCTCCTGCGGTTATATTTTGTTTTGGGGTCAACCATTATTGAAGTCACGCTTTTTTTACGATTTTTACCTCCCCCTCCCCATCATCACAAAAAGCCAGACCCCCCCCTCTAAATTGACGTTGTCTCAGCCTACAACCCCCCCCCCCCCCCATATCTCAAATCGATATTTTTCCAAAATCGTGTCTGAACTCTGTCAACATAGAGTATTTAATCAATTCCTATTACAATTTATTAAAACAGTTTTCTAAACCGCAAAATAAGGGCTAAAACTAGTTTTCTAACATTGTTTTTTATAATGCAAAAGTGTGACGTCACACCATCTGATTCCCCATCCCCCTCATCCCACACCGTCACAAAATTACGGACCCTCCCTCCAACTACGAGTGTGACGTCATTTAATTTATGGACGACCCCTTTTGTAAAAAAATAAAAGGTTTTGATGACGTGTCTGAAAGCTTATATTTTGAAATTGCCTCAAGCATGGAGAGATGAAAAAAAAAACAACAAACAACAAAACAATTTTTTAAAATAAAACAAAATGTGGGCTGTTCACAAATGACGTAAAGCACCCGGAAGGTGGGGGAGGAGGGGGTGGCAGTTCGGACTTGCCATAGCGCCACTTGAGGTGAGGGGAGAGAAATTTGGTTGACAAGAAATGTTGGCCTCTACATTTTTTAAAAAACCTGCCCGGTATCTGGGTCAGAAAGTTTTTATTTTAGTAACCGCAGATTTGAGTGGTGAGTGAAAACCAGGTCACTGACCACTCTCCTCACACACACACACATACCCCCCCCCCCCCCCCACACACACACTTCCCATTGTCCGATACACGAACACACATCCCGTGTTCGTGTGCTAAAAACTCTATAATTAGGCCTATCACACAAAAGATGAATTAGATTAGCATACATTTTGCTATCGATAAGTGAGGCCACGTTTTTTTTGTGTTCTTGTAGAGTTCGATTTTTTTTGCTGGGTGACACCTGACTAAGTGACGTCTCTTTTAATATCTAATGAAAAGCTTCGTGGATAGAAGGGGGGGGGGGGGGGGAGAAGGGAAGGTACGGTAAGGTGTGACAGGCTGATGGGGTTACCGTACCTCCCACCAACAATTTAGCATTTTCGGTTTGGTATGATCTCCTTTCTACTTACTTTTTAACTTAACTGGATAAAGCATTATTTCGATAGAATTAAAAAAAAATGTGTTGTCGTCATCAACCACTAAATGATGTCTCCCATTGCGGATAGCACCCCCCCTACAGACGCTACTGATTCTTTGTACATCAAACAGCCACTCGTCCCCCCCCCCCCACTTCCCCATACTTATCCGTAAACTTACTT